TTCGTTATGGTTTAAAATTTACGATTTGGAGACAAAATTATCAAATATCTACTCAATTATTTATTTTAACAAAAATAACCTACTTTTTTTTGTGTTAAATATAAAAATGGCTCCTAAACTATACACTTTCTGTTAGTTTAATACGTAAAAAATAAAGTTGTCAATATGGTATTCTACCTTCTATTTCATCATTCATTTTGGTGCCTGAGATGTATATAAAATAAAATACTAACAAATATAAAAATGTCCACTTAGCATCATATTATCAATGTAATGTATTCATTAAAAGATAAATTCAAAAAATTTCCAAAACTATTCAAAGAAATTCTAAAAAATAATTAAAAAATTAAAAAATACAAAAAAATCTAAAATTTTTAAAAAGTTTTAAAAATGCTAAGATAATTTTGAAAAAATTCTAAAAAATTCATAAAAAATTATAACAAGTTATTAAAAAATTAAAAAGAAAATTCTGAAAGGTTTTCAGAAAACCTTAAAATTTTAATTTTTTTTAAAATTCCAAAAAAATTAAGTAAACTTAAAAAATTTCAAAAAATCTCAAAATTTAAAAAAATCCAAAATTTTTCAAAAAGGTTTTGAAAGATTTTTAAAAAATGAAGATTTTAATAAAAATAAGAATTTCTTACAATAAAAAAATAAAAAAAATTTAAAAATATTAAAAATCTAAAATCTAAAATTTTTTGAAAAAAAATTAAATTGAAATTTTTTTTTAAAATTCCCAAAATTTTTTAATGTTACAATTTTAATTTTTTTATATATTTTAAAATTTTTTTTAATTTTTAAAATGTTTCAGATTTTTAAATTATTTAATTTGTCAAAAGTTTTTGTGCTTTTTTTTTATTTTAAGGAATTTAAGTTTTATTGATTTTTTTTAATTTTTTGGATTTTTATTAAATTTTTTATAATTTTTAGAATTTTTTAAATTATCATAATTTTTATTATTTTTAAAAATATTTCTTATATTTTTAAAATTTTCTAATTTTTAAGAATTTTTGAAAAATTTTTAAAATTTTTTAAAATTTATCAACATATTTTAGAATTGTTTCAAATTTTTTAGAAAATTTGAAAAATTTTTAGATTTCTTAAAAAAAAATTTTTTTTTAGAATTTTTTTAAAATTTTAGATTTTTTTGAGAAATTTTTTGAATCATTATTTCTTTGAATTAAAAAATTTTAAAAATCATTTAGAATTTTTTAAACTTTTTAAAAATTTTTTAAAATTTGTAAAAAAAAAATTATACTGACATGGCATTAATGAGGTGGTATTGACTCAACTTTTTTAACAAGTATTAGTATTTTATTAGATATTTATGTAACGTTAAAATTTCAGACTAACAACATTAATCTGAAGTATCAACATGATAACGCAATGAAAATTAAAATATTTAAATTAATAATTTTATTTTTTTGATACCAAATTGACAAAAAATATATAATTCAAAATCATTTTTATATTTAACCATTTTTCTTTTCCAACATCATATCTTTTTTATACATTTCAAATTTTCATAATACTTTTTTTTAACAATTCTAAAGCATTTTTTAAAATCGAATTTTTTTAAACGGTAGCAACAATATTAAATTAGATGTTAGAATTTGTTTAATATTGCGACTGAAAGTAGTTTTTGCATTTAAAAGTTGCTTTTGACCTAAATGCAATATTAAATAAAAAATTTTTTAACTTTTCAATTTAAAAACTTATTAAATAATAAGGTATTTTTGCAATGAAAAAATGCATTTGAAATTAAAAAAATCATTTTATTATCTTTATATTTTTAATATTTTATTATTATATATATCTTTTTAAATATTATATTCACAATATTTTTATTAAATACATTAAATTTTTAACCACACTATTTTATCATATATTTAAAAAATAATTTTTTAATGCAAACATATTTCAACGAGGCTAAATAGTGCTGATAGGGCATCAATTGTAGTCTCATGATTGATTCAGTGTCAAGGCTCCGGGCCAGGGTGAGAAGTGCTTCCCTAGGAATTGGTAAATTTTATGCACTGATCGAAACGGTTTAACTCTTATTCAGGCAGATGGTAAAAGGTAAATTTGGTTGATTGGTTGAATTATTACAGATAAAGGTGAACCTTCTTTCATTCTTTTACTATCCTCGTATGGATAAAGTCACATTATGATAATAATTTTTATATTTTAATCAAATTTAAAATTTAAACTTTTTATTATAATTTATAAAATTGTAATTTTGTATTATTTTAATTTAATAATCTTAATTCAATCATTAATTTATTAAATTTTTACCATTAAAATAACAATATAAATAAATAAAATCAGTTATTAAATTATACAAATAATCTATATACTTATACAAAATTTAAATTTTAATCCCTTTAATATTATTTATAAAAATCTCGTCATTGTACGAATTGAATTTGATAATATTAATATAATTACTAATGCAATTTATTACCCGTCATTAACTTTATTGATGCAATCATTATTTTTTTTAAATCGAATATTAAAAAGTTTTAAAAATTCTTTAAAAAAATCTTAAAAATTAAAAAATGATGAAAAAGTAAACAAAAAATTATTTTTTAGGCTTTTCAGATTTTTTAAAAATATTAAGTCAAAATTTTATAATATTTTAATCTTTTAAAAAATAATATTTCTTGAATTTTTATAGAAACGTAATGTTTTAATTTTAAAAAATTCAAAATTTATGAATTATTTAAAATTTTTATTTATTTTTAAAAATTTTTATATTTTAATCAAATTTAAAATTTAAAATTTTTATTATATTTTATAAAAATATAATTTTTGTATTATTTTAATTTGATAATCTTAATTCAATCATGTTAAAATTTTACCATTAAAATGACAATATAAATAAATAAAATCAATTATTAAATTGTACATATGATTATATATTTATACGAAATTTAAAATTTAATCCACTTAATATAATTTATAAAAATCTCATTCTCATACAAGTTGAATATAATAATATTGATATAATTACTAATGTGATCTATTACCTTTCGTTAACTTTATTGATACAATCATTATTTCTTTTTTAGAAAATTAAATATTAAAAAAGTTTTAAAAAATTTCAAAAAAAATCTTAAATATTAAAAAATGATGAAAAAGTAAACAAAAAATTATTTTTTAGGCTTTTTTGATTTTTTAAAAATATTAAATCAAAATTTTCTAATATTTTAATCTTTTAAAAAAAAATATTTCTTGAATTTTTATAGAAACATAATGTTTTGATTTTAAAAATTCAACATTTATGAATTATTTAAAAATTGTATTTATTTTTAAAAATACTAAATTTAATTTTTTTGAATTTTTAATTTTTTTAAAAAAGAATATTTCTTTTATTTTAAAAAAATAGATTTTGATTTTTCAAAAAATATTTTTCAAGTTTTAGATTTTATCAATTTTTTAAAATATAAAATTTAATTTTTTTCCAGTTCTTTAATTTTAAAATGTTAAATTGAATACATTAAAATATTTTATTTTTTAAGTCTAATTTTATTAAAAATTCAAAAAATTATTTTTTAGAAAATAAAATATTGGTAAATATTATAAACGTTTAAAAATTCAAAATTATTTTTTAAAAAAATTAAATATGATTTTTCATAAAATTTATAGAATTATTATTTTTAAAAAATTAAAAAATTAAAATTTTTATTATTATAAATAATTATAAATAATTAAAAAAATTAAAATTAAAATTTGATTGTCAACAAAATTCAAGAAATATTATTTTTAAAATTAAAATATTTGAAAAAAATTAAATTTAATCTTTTTTAAATTATAAAAAATTCATAAAACATCATTTTTGAAATTTTTTAGGTTTTTTAATTTTTCAAATTTAATAAAAATTACGTTGTCTTTTAATATTTTTTGAAAAGATAACAGTTACATCAATAAGATGAAGGAAAGTAATTAATGGCATTAGTAATTGAACCAATATTATCAAATTTAACTTATACGATAATGATATTTTTATGAATTATTTTAAAGTGGTTAAAATTCAAATTTTATACAAATATAAAGACTATTTGAATAATTTCACAACTGATTTCATTTATTAAAATATTCTCACGTCAATAAAGTTAACATTATATCAGTAAAGTCAATACCATGTCCATATTGATCAATACATATATCATCAAATCAACTAATATGTCAGCATTTTAATGATAAAATTTTCATGAGATTAATAATTGAATTAAAATTATCAAATTAAAATAATAAAAAAATTATATTTTATAAGTTATAATAAAGTGATTAAATTTTAAATTATGTTAAAATATAAGGACTATATCATAATTTGATCTATGAATATTTTATGATTTAAAATGAATTACATGGGGAAGAGGGTGGTTGGTTGGTTGGTTTAACAAACCTCTTTTGGGTATAAATTTAAGTCAAGAAAAATCATGATTTGATTACTTTCTAGAAATTTAGAGCATCTATTATTAGTCAACTTAATTATTTATAATCTTATTCCATCCAATAATTACCCATGTTCACAACACAACCAACTCGTCAATCTCGTTTATTTATTAAGTTATTACAATTTAACTGAAAATACAAAATTTTTTAATTTCTTAAAATCAGTTCAAATTAAGTTGAATTTAAAAAAAAAAAAAAGAAGAAGGAAATTTCTGTTCGTTTCGTAGGCAAATTCTTTCCCCACGGTGCAAGAACTGCACTAAAAAGTCAACAGTCAGAGGTCAATTATTTCGGAATTGATGGATTTAATTTATTTTTTTTATAATTTATTATAATAATTTTTATTATCATTTTTTTATTTAATTATGAAAATTTAAACAAACAAACAAACAGACAAAAGTCATGCCTGCGTTGGCAATTTAACAAAAAGCAGTAGAATTATTGTTGTTTCTTTTTTAATTAAATAATTATTATTTTGCAAAATATTTTATTGTAAAAAATAGTGGAGCTATCAGTTGTTGAATAAAATAAAATAAAAATGAAAAAAAAAGGTGGGCTTGTATTTCTTTCCTGACATATAATGAAATGAGCCCGAAAAGGCCGGGCCTTCACCTTAGGTTGTGATCGACGACGAATCCGCTAAACTCAACCTAACTCATTCTGGCAGCGGCACGATCCGCCGCCTTAGCCGCCGACCTCCTCCCTCTTCCTATTAGTCTCAATTTTCACTCCAATTCCAATTTCCATTCTTTTAAACCCTTTCTACTGACCAAATTATTCACAAATTTCGGTTGCAGCCAATTTTTTGAACTAAAATTTGAAATTTGTATGCTGATCTTACAGATTAATCGTACGATTGACGTCTGATCGCAATTCGAGCTGCCATCATCATCATAATCTCCGGGTCATCTGCTACAGCTGGCTTGAGATTATAAGAAGAAACAAGGAAAAGAAATATTTTTTTGTATGTCTCCATCTGTACATTTCTTCTCCGTGATTGTGAAATTTGGTGGTGACAATTACGGAGCAGAAGCGCGTGAACGGATATGGAGGAGAGTGGGAATCTGTCGAGGAGTAGTAATAGTCCGTCAGTGAGAGTGTCGTCGTCGCCGCAGTCCAAGCAGTCGTTGAGGCGGCTGAGCTTGTGCTCGCAAATATTAACACACTCTTCCCCAATTGTGTTCCCAGAGAAACGTACTAAGAAGCTCAAGGATTCATCCAAGCGTGGCGAAGCCCCTGTCACGGATGATCAGCTTGATAAATCCAAGAGTGAAGAGCTTCGAATCGATATCGGAGGAGGGGATGAAAAATCTGATTTACTTGGTTATGTGGTTTACTCAGGGAAGCTCATTTTGGATAAGAGAAAGAATGTCCACACTAATAGTAATTCCTCCGATGTAAAGCAGAATTCTTCTACTGATATTGCCAACCAAGAAGGAGTCGCTGCTAAACTCACTAGCAAGGCATTGGTTTGGGGTTCTCATGTCTTGCCTCTTGATGATGTCATCTCGGTAAACATTTAAACTCTGAAATTGACCATTTCAGTGAATAAGTTTTTTTTTTTTTTTTTGGGGGGGGGGGTTTGGGACTTTGCAATCAGTGTATTCAGTTTCTTTATCTTGACAGGTATCCTACAATGTTGGTGTTAGACATTTCACTGTGCATTCTTACCCTCTAAGAAAGGGTTCTTGTGGCCTTTCCTGTTTTATTAAACCGAAGAGAAGTCGGAAAGATTTTCGTTTCTTGGCTTCTACTGCAGAAGAGGCAGTCCAATGGGTTGGTGGGTTTGCAGATCAGCAGTGTTTCATCAATTGTTTGCCTCACCCTTTAGTTTCTTCGAAGAAACAGGCTTCTTCTGAATTGTTTCCGATGGATACTCCTCCTGAACTCGTTTTCAGGTGCAAGAATCCACCGAAAATGCTTGTTATATTGAATCCAAGGTCAGGTCGGGGTCGTTCTAGTAAAGTTTTCCATGGCATTGTGGAACCAATATTTAAGGTATGTGTATCTTTTATCTTGCCAATTTATATAGATTTTACTTCTGATTGTTCCACTTTGGAATAGGTTGTCCTTGATCGTAATTGCTGTTTTTACTTTGTAATTCTCTTCCTTTCCTCTAGATCTATCCATGAACAAAATCCCCAGTGCATTTTTTTTTAGTGAACTTGCATTGATATCTCTCTGTATCCTATGGTTGTGCATTTTAGGCTATTATTTCCTGCTTTAGGAACCAAAGCTGCTAGATTTAACTTTCCTTCAGATGAATCTAAATCTTGTCAATCCGTGGTTCAAATTATTCTTTAAGAACATAATATGAGCACTTCGACATAACTGCTTCAAGCCACTAACGTGCCTTGATTTGATTTTTCATGCCTTGCTTGTATGGGTAAAAGTTTGGTTAGGATAAAGTGGATTTTTTGAAGTGAAGATATGTTAGCATTCTTTGCTACAATTATAGAAGGTTGAATATATTATTATTACATTGTCTTCAGCTTGCTTTGGAGCCTAATTATAGTATATATTTAAGGATTTCAATAGGTAGGGTATGGGTAGGGTAGAGTATTTCCCATCTCCATCCCTGAATTTTCATATTATACCCATCTTCGTACACAAACTCAATGGGTATTTTAAATTTATCCCTATTCCCTTCCCCTAGAGTATTTAATAGGTACGGGTAATCCCCATACCCATAGCTTAAAAAAAAAAAAAAAACTAAAAACTAAAATTTTTTTAAACTTTTTTTTATTTTTATCTTGTATATTAAGGTAATTTTTTTATAAATATTTATTAGTATATATTTTTCAATAAAAATATATTAATTTTAATTAATCAAAAATAATAATTTCTATTATTTAAGAAAAAATATTTATATTAAATATGTATAAATATATATGTAGGGTACGGGTATGGGGTGGGTTTTATATTACCCATCCCCATCTCTGTACATAATAAAAATTTAAAATCATACTTATTTCCATCCCTATACCCACAATGTAATACCAATCTCCATCTCCATCGAGTTTCCTGTTGGGTATGGGTAAAATTGACATCCCTATATGTATTGTTGATAAATTGCTAAAATTTTAGGATTTTCATGTTTAGTTAGAGTGTTTAAATGTTTGTATAGTTTTTGAAAAGTCTAGAAAAAAAAAGAATAAGTCTGTGGGTATGTTTATTTTGTGTTTTTCCCTGCTGAATATCATGGATCCTCTGCATACGCAGCATTGCATGTAAGATTTTCCTTATAAGGATAGATATCATTGAAGTAAGATATATAAAGGCAGTATGGGTCATGTTCTAAATAATGTGTACTTTACTGATTTGTTTACCATTAAATGATCAAATATTACATTCTTTTGGATGATGATCTTTGTTTTGTTGTGTGCTTTATTTTTTCTGTAACTTCTTGCTTCTTTCCTTTGTAGTGGGATCTCTGCTTTCCGTTTCTTATGTTATTCTTGTATTATTGTCAAGAAGAAGCTATTTTAGAGTTCGGGCTTTACTGAGTTTCACATTGTATATGCAAACTGTGACAGCTTGCAGGGTTTAAATTGGAGGTAGTCAAAACAACATCTGCTGGCCATGCTAAAAAGCTGGCATCTACTGTTGATATCAGCACATGTCCTGATGGTAGTACTACTTTAATAAATTACTTATTATAGCTTTGCTTCTGTTTGTTTATGATTATCAGCATCTTCTCCATTAATATGAATTTAAGTCATCCTACTTCCCTTTTAGGAATAATATGCGTTGGTGGGGACGGGATTATCAATGAGGTTAGTTATTTCAAATTGAGTTAAATTCTCATTCTTATTTCCTTTTTTTTTAAGGTGTTTTCTACTTATATATTTATTTATTTTCTAAAGAATCTTTCGGTCCATTTGTTTTTTTTATTTCTAACCATTTCAACACCATCAGTATTATTTGGCTACAGTGACAAGTGAAATTGCTCGTAAAATTACAAGTGAAATTGCTCGTAAAATTCTAGGGCAACTGGTATTCTGTCATGTCATCGTGTGATTCCTGAATCAATTTTTTGAGGGACTGGCCTTTATAACCTTCTATGATAGGATTGAGACATAATTGTAAGGAAGAGTAGTAACTATGTTCTGTATAAGTACATTGTAGTTGCCGTTTACTTGTTATACAAGTATATTCCTCCTGCTTATTTATGGTTTTAAAAAATTTAGAGTCGAAATCAACTTCGAATTTTATCTAACTTAACCTTGTAAAGGAAGAAAACTGCACTTTTTTCTATGTTATGCATCTTTTAGAATAGTTTTTGATATTGCAATATGAACCATCTTTGGTTTTCAAATTAATATGCTTAATGAAGGTCTTGGCTGATATAAACACTTGTCCTCTGAATGTAGAGAGGACTGATTCTCAATTGAGGCAGTATCTCTATCCATTGAAGTTTTTCCTGATCCTCAACATGGTCCAGAGTTTCATCTACTTTGAGCTTTCATCAGCCAAAAATTGGAAATTTGTTATCCCTTAACAGCACACAACCTTTGAAATTGTTAGTTAGCAATCCTTATCCCATCAATAGGGAATGGATACATAGGATTCTTTTATGGTATTTAGAATTGGGCAAAGTCAAATTTTATGTTATATTATTGTCTATTATATCCTTTTTTCTTTGCTGTGTCCCATGTCCATTTTAATGTCCCCGTTGCTCCCCCTTTTTCCACTTCATAAAATAGCCAACTTTCTATACACAATTTTAATTTATCCTATGAAGTTTGTTTTTCAACTTATACTACTTTATGATCATGTAATGCTCTAGAATGTCTCTTGTATCTCTTTGAATAAGAAAGATCTTCCTTGCTTATGCTCTTATAATAGTTACAACATATCACCTGGAAACCTTGTACGAATTTGTACCGCATACTTGATGTTTCGTTTTCTCCCCTTCACTAAAGTTTTGTCTGTTTATTTAGTTATGTCCTATTTGTCATACAGGATTCTGATATTAAGTTTATTATCAGCTTTGAGATAAGTTCATTGTTAATAGTGCATAAACCATCAGATTTTCGATCATCATTGTAGGGGACTGTGTGAGGATTTTATGGTACTGGATAGTCATTCAATTGCTTTGTTGAAAGCATTGTAATAGAATATAAAGCTTCCTTGTCCTTAGAATGGGGTTGTGTTCTATTAGTCTGCTGGTATTTCTGTTTATTAAGCTGGTTACTTCATCTTGGTAATTTTGTAGGTTCTAAATGGTCTGCTTAGTAGAGACAATCAGAAAGAAGGAATTTCTATACCCATTGGAATTATACCGGCTGGTTCTGATAATTCACTGGTTTGGACTGTTCTTGGAGTTAGAGATCCAGTCTCTGCTGCTATTTCTATTGTGAAGGTAATGCTGCTTAGTAAATTCAAGATGAGATTGGCTTTACTTAGGTGGTTATTCTGTTACTGCCTTTATAGATTAATTTTCTAAACTATTTTGAAACATGGGTCTGAAGTTGGTAGTAACACCTTGATGACCCTAACACATTGCGTAAAACGTTTGGCAGAAATGTCTTCATTCTGTTGCATCTCTATTGGTGGAAAAATGCTCTTTTTTAATAACTCTCGCTATAAGGAAATGAGTGACATGAATACCCCATTTTTCTTTTTATAAATACATTAAATATCTACTGGTCTCTCTGTTGCCTACTATTGAGGTTTTCTCTTGTTGGTTTCAGGGAGGTCTTACTGCTACAGATGTTTTTGCTGTTGAATGGATTCAGACTGGTGTTATTCACTTTGGGATGACAGTCTCCTATTATGGTTTTGTCAGTGATGGTATGTACTGGTCACATGATGATTTATCCTGACTAATAAAATAGAAGTCAGTTTCTATATTCAATCAACCTCTGTTCTCTTCTTACAATTATCTTTTTTTTTTTTAATTTGTTTGAAATGTAGCCTATATATGCTTTGATGCTTCATAACTTGCCACCTCAATGTGTGGCCAAATTCCTAGCTATGATGCCTGACTTTCGAGTGTGAGTTGCACTTATGACCATGATTTGTCCTTTTAGAATGATTTGAGCATTCATCCTCATATATGTTGATGTAATTAGTCAATAATATAGTTGAAGGGTGACTGGTTTTTGTTTCACATTTCCCCTTGTCAAGAAAAAGCTATCTTCTGTACCCCATCCTTTTCTGTTTTCCCATTATAAGTTTGTATCTATAATAGAAATCACTTGTCAGAATTACTACTAGAGTAGCCATCGTCTATTGTTTGCAGCTTTTGTTTGAACCTTTCCGTTTAAGTTGCCTATTTTAGGTTGAGACACCTGGTTCTCCTTTAATATTCTCTGTAATCCTGAATTAGAATAGTTTCATTCATTTATTTGTGTCAGATATTCCATGTACACTAAATTTGGATTCTGATATCTGTCTGGCTTAGATATTTATTATTAACAACAATTATCATCAGGACAATGCTTGATTTGAAGTCTAATTGGTAATAGTTAAATAACAATTCAATGACTGGATACAAAGATGGTGAATGAGGGTGTCAGTTTGCTAATTTTGTATGAGAAGCTTGTATGCTTTTCATCTCTTAGTTGATTAATTAATAGACCAATCCATGAATGTGAATACAATCAAGGAACATTAGATTCAAATAAGGCATACATGATTTTCTATGTATAGAATGATTGAGTGAAACACTATCTTTTATGAGTGTATATGATGATGTGTGCATAAAATAATTCCCCCATCTTTTATTGTCTCTTAGTGTGGAAATTGTAATTTTATTTTTGTATCTTTTCTTACACGTTGCAGTCTTAGAACTTTCTGAGAAATATCAGAAAGGATTTGGTCCTCTAAGATATTTTGTTGCTGGGTTCCTCAAATTTTTGTGTTTGCCAAAATACAATTATGAAGTGGAGTACCTTCCAGCAGCAAAAGAGGATCGAGAGGTAGTTGACATGTCAGACCTTTACACAGACATTATGGGGAGGTCAAAGACGGATGGCATTCCCAGAGCCTCTAGTTTATCTAGTATTGATTCAATAATGACTCCTAGTCGAATGTCTGGAGGTGAGATGGAGACATTTAGTAGCTCTAATGCCAGAACTGAACCATCTGAGTATGTGCGAGGCCTTGATCCTAAGACTAAACGGTTGTCATCTGGAAGAAACAATGTAACTACTGAGCCTGAAGTTATTCATCCTCAGTTACCATTCTCAACGACTCCAAATTGGCCAAGGACCAGATCAAAATCAAGAACAGATAAAGGATGGAGTGGAGTGACTGCAGCAAATGATCCTTCTAGATGTTCTTGGGGTAATGCTGCAACAAATGATAGAGAGGATATATCTTCCACATTGTCTGATCCAGGTCCAATTTGGGATGCTGAACCAAAGTGGGACACTGAGGCTAATTGGGATGTGGAAAATCCAATCGAGTTACCAGGGCCATCAGATGATATTGAGTCAGGAATAAAGGAAGTTGTTCCAAGATTCGAAGATAAATGGGTTGTGACCAAGGGGCCATTTCTTGGCATCATTGTGTGCAACCATGCATGCAGAACCGTGCAGAGTTCTCAGGTGGTGGCTCCAAGTGCTGAACATGATGACAACACCATGGATATGCTGTTAGTTCACGGTATTGGGCGGTTGAGGTTGATGAGATTTTTCTTGCTTCTACAGATGGGTAAACACCTTTCACTGCCATATGTTGAATATGTCAAGGTATGAGCATCAATTTTCCTTTAGTCGATAAACAATCTTGTATTTCAAATATAGCAACTTGATTGTTGAGCCCATAAAAGTCCATCCAAGTTCAAGATTGTTGTTAAAATTGTCAGTGCAGCTGGATTAGCTGCATGTGATGAATTGATTGGTGCTGGTTTGAACATGTGTTTTGCAGTTAGTGTACTGTTTCTTACATAGGGATAGTTGCCCCATTCACTTCAATTTGTTATGGGATTTATAATGGGTGTTTTGCAGATTTTTAATCCAACTGTCGGATCAGTGAACTGGTTCCTATATGCATAAATATCTACACATGATTTAAACCATCTAACAGTAGCTTCCATTGAAATGCAGGTGAAATCATTTAAGATTAAGCCTGGGAAACACACGCATAATGGTTGTGGGATTGATGGTGAGCTTTTTCCCCTCAATGGACAAGTAGTATCATCTTTGCTTCCAGAACAGTGCAGACTAATTGGTCGCTTCCCTAGCCGTCATGTATAATGACCAAGAGATGATGTTTTTGAATTTTTCTGTTTGTCATGTCTTGGATGTGAATGCTCTCTTTTATACTCGTGGCTGTGGAATATGCAGAGTATCCTTATACAAAACAAAAATATCTTCTGTTATATTTTCACGTTAACCCCCTTCCAGTTTGTTCCATTACATACATGAGGGTTCTGTAAATTTTGTTGGGTTTATGTATCTGTTTTCTGCTGCTTGTTTATTTGCTTTTCTACTCCTCTTTGGTATATATGCGCTTTTCTCTTGTTTGTTTCTATGTGAGAGTTGCTAAATGTATTGAAAATTTACCTTTTTGTTCCTTTGAAATTTCTTTATAAGATATCTTCTGGATCTGAGATATTTACAAAAGAATGTCTTGTCCTTTTATCTTCTCTATTTTCTCAGTTCTGTTTCTGTCTTTCTCCATCACTGCTTCATATCCCATTGAATGAAAAGCATCCAAGTGTGCCATGATGTAGAAGTTCTACAAAGAAGGGAAGGCGATCACTGAGCAAATCGCAATCATTCCTTCTTTTACTAACGTAAGCTCTATTAAAGATGGTGCATGTATAGGATGATTTTTATTGCAGGTTGCAAAGGGGTTGATTTGAATTCAGATTGTATTGGTTCGGATTTCCGTTAGTTTCAAGCAATTTTAAATTTAATTTATTAGATATTAGATGTAATCCTTTTAACATGATTTTGGTTTGAATTATGATGGAATCTCATATTTTTGGATTTGATTTTTGACTATTTGTGCAATTCAGATTTGGGTGGATTCAAGTTCAGGTTTTTTTCCGAAGGGTTTTCAGCTTAAGTTGTTTTGCTTCCTCTAAAAAGTTGTAGAATTTTAGCGTGGTTAGAACTTGGAAAAGAAAAAAATGGAGCCTTTGTCCCTGTCTGGTGGTGGCTGGGGATGATTGGCTGGCTTGGGTTTTTGCTATCCATAAAGATTGGATTGGAGAGTGGGCCAGGTTGCCTTCTCCACCTCTCATACCTCATCCCCTACCCTTGTTGCCCCAAGTATTTGTGGACAAAGCATCTTTTTCGATCTCAAAACGCTGCCGTGAAAAAACAAAAATAAGTAGGAGCTCTTGCAAAACAAAGATTAATAAATTGTATTCTTAGGATCTCTATTTTTTCTTAAAGGCAGATAAATGAAAATTTTTTAATGCAAAAAGGTTTAAGTTTAGGGGATAATTGAAAAGAAAATTTTGCAAGTAAACAGATCAAATTTTAATTTTACTAAAGATTGTTTGTTTGTAATATTTGAATTATGAATATATTTATTTAAATAAAATTTAAAGAGTTGTTTGTTTGTTATATCTCATCTTTTGAAGTTAATCAATTGAAGGGTAAGTAATACATTAATTAATAGAATCATAATTTAAATGTTATATTAGAGATTTTTAAAATTTAAATATACATTAAATATTTTATTATAATTTAAAAATTATTCATAACATTAATTTTTGGATGAATCAACTTGCCTAAACTCATTCAATTTCTATCTATCTTTACATGCAAAAAATTTTCTTTTAAATTTTTTTATATGCATTTGATTCGTGAATTCTTAAATATTTAAAGAAAAAGGAATTCTAGGGAAAATAATATTGAAGAGTAATGTGTAATTCTTGGATTTTATTAATTTACGAAATGTAAAATTTGTGTTTGATTTAGAGAAAAGTAATATTACCTAATAAAATTTTTTATTATATTATTTTTTGTGATACATGAATAATTCATGACATGTGAATAACATGTCATTTTCGTTGAAATTAAAAATTTTTGAAAATTAATTTCTTTTCATATTGTCAATAAAAATTGTATTTTTTTTGTGTTAAAAATGTTATTTTTACTGAAATTTATAAAATTTTTTCATATTTTTAACAAAAATCACATTTTTATCATAAAAGCTTATCTTTATTGAAATTTGAAAATATTTTTTTTATTTTAAACAAAAATTGTATTTTTTATTTTATAAATGTTGTTTTTATTAAATTCAAAAAAACTGTTTCATATATTTTTAACAAAAATCATATTTTTAATCTTAAAAACGTCACTATTGTCAAAACTATAAAAAGTAAAATATAATGTTATTTATACAATTTAAAAATGTGATTAAGGGAGAGCAAGTAAGAAAAAAATTTACTTTCTTTTTAAAGCCTAAAAAATTATGTTCTTCAACCAAACAATAAAATCAAATTATAAATAATAAAATTGTAAAAAAAAAAAATCTTAATTTCCCAAACCAACGTCACCTCACTTTTAATCTTTTTCATTGGTGTCAAACAAATCTATAATGTGGTGGCAGTGTTCCACACTACTCCCATCTATCCATGAGACCTTTCAATTATTGCAAAACATAATCGATCTTTTATGTAAAATTTATGACATTACTATTATTAATACAAGTTGGATTAATCAGATTCTAAAGGAGAAAGAGAGCAAATACATCATAGTACAAAATAAAAATTTAATGATCAATAAATTAATACAATGATAAGTAAAATTATGGAGTTTTAAATTTTATTGACCAAATTAAAAATTTATCACAATAGATGTTAGCTTAAGTGATAACGGAATTTGTTTTTCTTTTGATTATTTCAAATTCGTATTAAATGAGATATTATAAAATTTTTTTTTCATAAATTTACTAAATATGGTGTAAGTAAACTAGAAAAAAATGTATTAATTGAAGTCTAAGAGTCACTTATCGTTCAATAAAAAAAATATCATTTATTATTTAATATAATAAAAAGACACATGATAATTTTTTAATTCATTTGTAAAATTAAAAAAAAATTCATTTACTATGTATAAAATGATCATTTTTATATATTTGAACTTTATATGATTTTAATAATAATAATTATTTTTATAAAAGGAAAATATTAAAGTGTCTAATAACTGTAATTAAAATGATATTTAAGAAAAAATAATAATTAATACACTAGTTTTTAAAAATTATGAAAAAATAGGTTAAATATAAAATTTTTAAATTATATTTATATTAATGAAGTTTATACATATAATTTTTTTAAAAAAATTTTAAAAAACCTCTTAGTTTTATATTTAATCCACAATCTTTAAACGTTAACTTCAGTATCATATTAATTAATTCAAAGACATATCAAACATACGTACCAATTTTTTCTTTTATAAATATAAGAACGGAAGACATTTTAACATTTTTAACTAAAAAAATTATTAATTTTTAAATTAATTAGCATGCTATTGAAGTCTATATTTAAAAATTATAAATTCAAAAAAATTTAAATATATAAATTTTTTTAATTAAGTATTTTTAATAAGTACATAGTAGATTTAAAAATTAAAAAAAAAAAAACATTTTTAACTAAAAGGAGAAAAACAAGAAAAGCTGATAGAATCCAGGGAAGACTACAACAGACAAAGAAATGAAGTAGAAGGTCTGGCACATCTGCGCTTCACAGTTTTTTCCTTACCAAACAGAACATAATTTAAGAAGGTAAAAGGCTCCACGCTCCCTCTATCTAACAGTTAGCTGGGTTTCCATACGTGGATTCAGCCACTACAAAAACTCATTCCGACACGCATATCTGTCACCGGGGATTCGGTCGTACAAGCTTGCATTAGAAAACCCCCAAGGGCTCAGGAAAGTAAAAGAAAAAACAGACATGACTACGACTACGGCCACTTTGGCTCTCTCGTCGACAGCGCTCGCTTATTGTTTGATCACTCGTTCGAGTGGAAGATCATCTCCGGAAAACAAAACGACCATGATGACGTTGAAATCAGCGTCGTTTCCTTCCACTTTAACGGCCCTCAATGTTACTACAAAGGCACAGAGGACCATTTCCTGCCAAGCTGTCTCCGCCGCTTCCGTGGACAAGGACGAGAAAGACGCGTCGGTTTCGGGATCGGCCGAAGCCGAGGAGGGCTAAAATTGGGGCCAGGATTAGGGTGAAGGTACCGCTCAAAGTGTATCACGTGCCTCGCGTCCCGGAGGTGGACCTGACCGGTATGGAAGGAGTGATTAAACAATACGTGGGGCTGTGGAAAGGGAAACGGATTTCAGCTAATCTTCCTTACAAGGTGGATTTCATTAAGGAAATTGAAGGCCGGGGACCTGTCAAGTTCTTTGCCCATCTTAAAGAGGACGAATTGGAATTTCTTGATTAGAATCCTCCAGGCAAAATACTTTCTTTTTCTTATATCTCTGTGCTGTCTTTCTTAAAACTAAAAACCAATAATTGCTCACTGTTGTATGTAATTTTTACCTTTACCTTTCAGTTCTACCTGGGAATGGTTTTGTTTATTAATTGGTAGCATTGAAGTTTTATTGCTTATTTGTGTATTTGCTTTGTACCTTTTTCCGCCTTCCAAGTGTTGTGGATGAATAGATATACTAGCATGGTATCATAACTACCCTTAGAATTTGTTCTTATACTGATATGATAATATTAACTACTATTAGATGCTTTCTCCTTTGTGGGAATCCAGGCAAAATGGGCTCCCTTTTCTAATTTCACTTAAATTTCTATTAGTAACCTGTCATGATACCAAAGCTGAATTTTCTAGCCCTTTTGAGGGCTCAGGTGGGCTTCTGTCATTCAATTTATATTAGTTTTCAGTTTTTGTGTGCTCTGTTGCAGTTGGTTGAATCAAGAATGGTAACTAGGTTTACTTTGATTTGTTCTGTTTATGCTCTCAAACACTAGACTATAAATGAATCCCATGAACTTGGTTTGGTGGTGAGGCTGTCGTTTAGCATTAATGAAAAACACTAAAAGAGTCACCGCTTTTTCTGTGCAAAAGTTGGTCCTCTGTCGATTAGCGTTGTTGAAGATTATTAGTGCTAATCATCCCACAAAACAACCCTGACAGGTTTAATACATATTAACAGGCAAGATGATGCTGAAGATGATTAGTTGAATTTCACTTTATTTACGGCAATGGCGAATTAAGGAAAAGACTACTTGTTGCTATCACAAAAGTGCTTGCCTAGCTGATAAAGAAAGAAAATGTTTTTCGGAGTTTGGTCCAGGTGAATGATTTAGAAACTGGATTTATATTCTAAATTCAGCATTTTCTTACTTGACAATTTTACATGGCATCTCCATTTGGTTTCTTGCCTAAAGTTTCTATTTTTATGGTGCATAATAATAACATGTGTTGGTGATAAAAATAAGAATCGTGCTATCATTAAATAGTGTCCTAAAACTGAGTTTTCTCAGAAACTATCATTGCTATTATGTTAGAAATAGATGTGTTGTTATGTCCATTCATATTGTTCAATACTTGGTATCCTTTCTGCAGACTTATCTAGGTAATTGTATTTCAAACTATATCACTTTGGTCATCATTTTTTCATTACATTGGCATATGTCTGTAACATCATCTTTTAATGAGCTATAAAGCATGACTCTATAAATTATATCTTTCATGTTGCATGTCTGCAGATGCTTTTTCTTTCACTTTGTTAAAGATGAAACTGGCTTTGCAAGTTAGATTTGGAAGATGCAACTAAGTTTTAATTTTGTGAAAACATTTCATTCCTGAATTTATGGCCACAGAGCCACCCTACTTTCTGGACCTAATTCTCCTTCTGTTTTAATATTTGTCTAAGGTAAAGCACTAATGAACCACACTGACTTCAATCCCACCTAATACAAAAGAAAATAGGGGTTGTCTTGAGCTTAATATTATTTCATGAATGCACTCAATGTGATTCATTGCTTTTCTACGGCTATGAATTCTTACGTGGAAGCCTCGCTGTTTTCAGAAAGCTTCTATTTAGTTAAAGCTTGGTTGAGTGTTTCTTTAGTTTGCTAGAGATAGGGCTTTTATCTCAAACAAAAAGAAGGGAGCAGTAGGGTTGCTTGTAAAACCAGTCTTCAGTTTTTGCTTCTTTTTTTTCCCAGGAAGCTCTTTTGGACTTGGAGTTTTTTAGGTGAATTCACCATATACTCAAAGTTGGCTTTCTTTATTGCCTAGTTTGAATATGGTCCTTTGATTATTTTTGTTACCATGCTGGATTTTACAACGGTTAAAGTGTGCACTTCATTTATTGTTGTAAGGAGTTAATGCTGTGACCCATAATGACAGTTTATATTACAACTATTTTTGGTCTGTACGTTCCTGTTACATTTATATTAGCTCTGAAGTTGGATTGTGGTTCTGATGGTTACGTTGAGAGGTAAGTAACCAGTCAGTTTGGCATAATGCTATTTGATTATTGGAACAGATGGTTGCTTTTCCATACTGATGTCTTTGACGTGGTTCCTCATGCAATGGAAATCTGAGTAGTCCATTGCAATGCAACAGTGGAATATGCTGTATATGTACTTCTGAAGCATCCAATTTATACACGTGACCAATTGAGCACTGTGTTTCCAGTGACATTGGCAAGTAAGGTAGGAAATAAAGTGTAAGCTTCCCTGTCTATATGTATTAAGGTCAAGTCTCAAAGTTCTTCTTTGCATGTAAAACTATATATTTGATTTCAATCATCATATACCTCTCTCTCTCTCTCTCTCTCTCTCTCTCTCTCCTCTTCCTTCCATTGGTCCCTTTTGCCACAAACGGATCTGAATTTTGTGCTTTTCAAGCCCTGCTGATTGCATCTTCTGCATTACTGCATTGATAAAAGTAACAGTCAAGGGAAATCTTGATTATCATAATTGTTTTAAGTCTTGCATCACTATATCTTTTATGGTTCAATGCAATTGCACTTCTCTGGTATTTATGCGCGTTATTGCAGTATCAAATGAACGAAACAAGTGGATCCTAAGCCTCGATGACTTGCTATCCGTTGCAATGATCCAATATGGGCACCAGCGGGCTCCTTGCCACTGAACTCGTAAGATTAAGCACTAGCATTCTAAAGAAAAACAAAAGTCTGACGCTGGTAGACTTTTGCAATCATTGCCTTTATTATATTATTATTGAGTTGGTGCAGTTGCAGGTTGATCACAAATGCATTCCATCTTTTACCTTCTTATTTCTAAATTCATTCTCTTTCATCAAATGGATTTCTGGCTCCACCTTTGTATAATCTCCAATCATTGCCACTGTTGTCATGACATTGCTATAGTTATAACCCAAAATGCAAGGGTTTTTTGGTTTATTTTTAAATCCCCACCATCATTTTGGAAGCCATTTCCATTAATGAAATTAGTGAATTACTCTAATAAAAATGGGCATTTGGAGTAGTTGTGATATTAATATTTTATGTGGGTTTAAGAAAAAAAAAGGAAGAAGAAGAAAAGAAAAGCTGGTTGAATAAATGCATTTGATTTCTTAATGATATATTTAGTAGTTGAAGTAGGTCATTCCTTTATCCTTCAAGTTTTGAACTTGAAATTGAAGGGAAAGAACGTGTTGACTCAAGGTGGCACAAAAAAGAGGTTAAAAAGGCAAGCCTGTCCAAAGCACCAAACATTTGGGAGGTCGATTGCATTGCTTTCACTGTATCGGATGATGCATTTTATGATCAGATCCCTTCTCAAATGAAAGCTTAGACATTCACATTTGAGTAATCGTTTGTCAAGTCATGCCAAAGTAACAATTTTGAATCAAAAAAATTAGAATGCCTACCAAGTCTCGACTATTTTATCATCAGTTTTTGTGTGTTGAGTTGAAGTGAGGGAGAGATCTGTCATCAATGTGCTTTTATGCAGATCGTGAAAGAGACAATGAGAAAATGCAGATCTATCATTTGGATGAGGTTGCTTAAAATACACCCTCAATATTGCTGTATTTTGCAAATGCAATGCAGCCATATAATGATGGTTTGCTCTAACTACACAACATAACGACACAAAAAAAAAAGAGGATAATTTCGCACATGTAGCAATGTGACGTGTACAAAATAATGGTGTTAGGATACAATGAATTTATAATTTCACCATTCTTTGAAAAGAATGTGGAGAATACCGAATAAGCACTCTAATTTTATTGAAAATGAAAGTAAATTTAAGATAATTTATTACATAGAATTAAAGTTATGATTTTCATCGTAGTTAGAACTTTAACATTATAATTTTCTTGATTGGTTGCTGTAAATTATAAAAAAGTTTAAGTTGATTTATTTTAATAAGTTGAATAACAAATATTTCAGAAAACATTAATTTAATTATACTAACAATTGATTTTTATTCACTGATTTTTACACTTAGTGAGTATAATTACAATGAGAAAAAAGTTTATTATCTTAATTTCATATAATAAAAATCAGAAGCTTATTTTTATAAAGTTTGGAAGCTTATTTGATTATTATTTAAAAAAAACTACTTGAATCTTGCAATTTTACAGGTTTTAATGTCATTATTTTATTTAATTTTATGTTAAATTTATTCAATTATAGTAGTCTTAATTTTGAAAATAGTGATTATCATCAAATATTGTCATTAAAATTTATAAAAAAAAAAAAAACAAAGTTAGTCCTAACAAAGAAAAAAATATTTTTTTAATTTTAATTTACAGAGGAATTTAAGGTGGAAAATTGAGATGGATATAAATTAAAGATTTCACAGCCATTTTGTGGTAAGGAGTGTGGTGGCGTGCAATTAGAATAACATGATTGCCATGAATGCAAGAAATTCGAAGTGAGAAGAGAATGAAACTATAATTTTTGGTGGCTCCCACTTTCATTTATATATTTTAAAAAAAGTACTCCGTCCCACATAATATTATTTTATTGATTTTTTTTTGGAGTTTAAGAAAAATTTTAATTCATATAATATTAAACTTAATTTATTATAATTTAACGTTTTATAGCTTTTAATATAAAAAAAATTAAATATAAAAAATTTAAGTATTAAAAAAATAAAAATAAACATAATTTAAGACATAAAAAAAATGAAACAGTAGGAGTAATAATTTTAAAAACGGTAAGATATATATCTTTTGCTTGTTGATTAAGGAGAATATTTATTAGATTAGTTTAAATTTGAAATTTTAAAAATTAAATTAAATAATTTTATTTAAAATAATTAATTAAATTAAAGTAATTAATCAAAATAATTAAAATCGAATTGAATCAATAGATTCAATGGGTTTGACTGATTTTAGTTATTAAAAAATATAATTAATATTATCACATAAAATTATTTATATTTATATTTATATTATATATTATCTTCGTTATATATTATATGAAAGAAATGATATATTATATAATGCATAATTTAAAAATATTATATAAAAATATATTTAAACATAAATTAATAATATCAAATAATTAAATTTACTCAATTATCAATTTTTAAAATCTATAATTAATTAAACTAATAAAATAAATTACTTTTTTAATTGATTAAAATCAAAATTAAATAAACCGAACCAAACGAATATATTTTAAATTTTAATCGACTAAATCAATTACAACCTATTATGCTCACCCTTATTGTTTACTAATTAGAGAGGATGAAGTTGAAAAATATATATATATATATAAAAGGTAAACAGGGTTTTAATGAGAAGGAAATGAGGGTTGGGTATGGTTGCCTAGTCTTTTCGATTTTGAGTTGGAGATGGAGGGATCCCCCATTGGGCTGGGCCCTATTTTTATCCCACCAATTCTTTTTTTTTTTTATTTTTATTTATTTTGTGTTTCATTTTAATTTCCCTCCCTCGCATTCCCTTCTACATTAATTTAAAACAAAAATAAAAAATTCCAAAGCTTATTATTAATCAGTTAAAAAAAGAAAAAAAAATCAATTCATATAAAAGAGTAAAAATAAAAAATAAAAAAACCACCAGCAACGGCAGTGAAACCTGAAAGCCGCCCCTTCTCTTCCTTCTTTCTTCTGTTTCTGTGTTTTATATGTGGAAAATCTTGTTTGATTGAGTTTGCTTTTAAGTTAAAGATTTGGGTTTTATGAAGAAAGATTTGGAGAAATGTGGGTTTGAAAAACCAACAAGAAAAAGCAAAGCAAATCCACTTCTACTTTCTCACTCATTCATTTCAAAAAAAATATATATCTTTTGTAGTTCTTGCTTTGTACAACTACTGGTATTTCTCGACTCTTTTTTTCTGGTAAAAAATAAAAATATAAATTTTAGGGGAAACCCAAGAAAGAAGGATTGAACAATGAAGCAATCACTCCAACTGTTGTCTTCTATGTAAGTCTTTGGTTTCGGGTGAAATGTCGTTTGCTCCTTTCCTTTTTTTTTTTTTTTTTTCTTTCTTTTTATTTAAATTATATATATATATTCTAATGTTTCCGATCTAACAGTGAAAATTGTGGATTTTGCAGTCGTAGAAGATGATTAAAATAATGGAATGAGGATGAGATCTACGGCACTGTTCATCAGATTTTTTATTTGAATGTTTGTTATAGCCAGTGGTAGGGTTTTATCTTCTGTTTCGTTTCCGCCATGACTACCAAACGCGCTTACAAGCTACGTATCCTCTTTTTTAGGGTTTTTATTAAATTATGTTTCCAATTGATTTACTGATTTACTTGATCTGGGTTCTCTGTAACAATTGCCCCCATCACCTCAAACGGATCTCTTTCTTTTTTTTTTTTTTAGTGTTTTTGCTTGGGATATCCTTAACAACTGTAATAAACAGAGGAATTTGTGGCACACTCTTCAAGTGTGAATTGCCTAAAGATAGGAAGAAAATCTTCCAGGGTTCTTGTGACTGGCGGGGAAGATCACAAGGTTAATCTTTGGGCTATTGGTAAACCCAACGCCATACTGGTCAGTTCTCTATCAGTATTTGCGCAATGCAAATTATTAAATTCGTTTCAAATACCCTTTTTTGCAATTATGTTATCTGTCAGTAGTCATAATTGTATTTTCACAGTCATTGGTTTGATAAAATTTATTATATGCTCACTAGCTACTAAGGGGGAAAAAGAATGTAAGATATAGCAAACAATAAGGATTAAATAATTTTCATTTATCCTAAAAACAGGATTAAACTATTCTACCACTGATAAAAATTTCATTTTGGAGATCAATGAATTTTTATTGCATCAATGTTGTGTTTGAACGGTCATACCAGAGCTTATCGGGACACACAAGTGGAATAGATTCAGTCAGCTTTGATTCTTCAGAAGTTTTCGTAGCTGCAGGTGCTGCAAGTGGTACCATCAAGCTTTGGGATTTGGAGGAGGCAAAAAGTATGCTTGTTCAATTCCATAGACTTTTTTTCCTTCAAAATATATATGTTGCTGTATGTTAAATGTTGGTCTTATATATGTTAGATTGATTTTTTTTTTTTTTTGTTGCAATCTGATACTTTTCTAGTTGTTCGGACTCTGACTGGTCATAGATCCAATTGCATCTCTGTGGACTTCCACCCCTTTGGCGAGTTCTTTGCATCTGGCTCTCTTGATACAAATCTTAAGATATGGGATATCAGAAAGAAAGGGTGTATCCACACTTACAAGGGCCACACTCGAGGAGTCAATGCAATCAGGTTTACACCAGATGGCCGATGGGTTGTATCTGGTGGTGAGGACAACATTGTGAAGGTCAGAGTTGCTATACTTTGGTACATGGTGTTAATTATTTTGTACTAATATGATCCTTTGTTCGTAGACATGTTTTTGCTCTACCATATTCCTTTTTTTTGGGATCTGCGTGGGCATGGTAGGGTGAATATATATAGAAGGGTTTTAATTTCTTATAGTGGTGGTCTGGCTCATGGCCATGCGCTTATTTCCCAGGAATTAGAATTGAGATTGTGGAGTTCTGTTTGAGGCTATGCAAAGCTGAGAGTGTAGGATGAACTAAGGATGAACTAACATATCTTGTTTCATTTGACATTGTTTTTTATTCACTGAGTCAGCCAACTTTAAAAATTTTGGCTGAGGATTTGATATCTGAAGGCTATTTCATTGTTTTAAATGGTAAAACTGTCAGACTGGCAAATAGATTGCATGCTGTCAGTGCCTATTTGATAACAAGTTTCTAATAAACAGATTTAAGTGCACATGTATAGGCAGTATGTAGACACAATACTTTTGCATTTTGATCTTGATTCTGGAAATCTGGATAACTTTTATAATGATCTTTTTCATGTTCTGTATATCAACAGGTGTGGGATTTGACTGCTGGAAAACTGTTGCATGATTTCAAGTATCATGAAGGTCAAATTCAGTGCTTAGATTTCCATCCCCATGAGTTTCTACTAGCTACAGGTTGGTTATTACCTTCTGTTAATAGCTGCTGCTTATTGCTCATTGACTTGAGAACTCATTTTGTGATGTTGTCCTAAAATTTAATTCTTATCCTAAAATCTGTTATGTTGTCCAAGGAGGTTGTAAATCCTTCTTGTGTGTTCTAATTTTCATTATACATCCCTTGCCTTCACAGGTTCAGCTGATCGGACTGTTAAATTTTGGGACCTTGAAACCTTTGAGCTTATTGGTTCAGCTGGGCCTGAGGTACTTTCATTGGTCTTTGGTGCCCTTATTGATTCTCTTAGTAGAATTAGAGATTCTTGTTGAGATCATAAGATCTTCTATGCTTTTATATTGAGATCATAGGATCTTTTATCTTCCTGTTTTATGGAGAACTTTGTACATGATTTTTTCCTTCTACTTTAGACTACAGGAGTACGTTGCTTGACCTTCAATCCTGATGGAAGAACTGTGCTCTGCGGATTGCATGAAAGTCTGAAGGTGAGATCTTTTATAGATTCAACAACTTTCATCAATCTAAAATGATTTACTAGGGAATGATCTATGCTTATTCCAGTTTGCATTTTATTTTTCTTTGCAACTTCTAGGTTTTCTCATGGGAACCGATAAGATGTCATGATGGTGTGGATGTGGGCTGGTCTAGATTGTCAGATCTTAATGTTCATGAAGGAAAGCTTCTTGGCTGCTCATATAACCAAAGCTGTGTTGGAGTATGGGTTGTAGATATCTCGGTATTGCTCAGTTTTCTACACTTCAACATATTTAATTGGTCCATCTTTCTTTACTGGCAGTTATTATGTTAAGATTTTAATATTGAATTTTGGACACTGGTACAGCGCATAGAGCCATATGCTGTTGGTAATGCTAATCGTGTGAATGGTCATTCTGAACCTAAATCTAGTTCAGGTGGAAACCTCCCTGTATTGAATGAGAACACGACAAAAGCTAGTATGGGAAAATTATCTGTTTCACAAAATCCTGAACCTTTAGCGAAGGAAACAAAATCCCTTGGAAGGTTGTCCCTTTCACAAAACTCAGATCCTGCTAAGGAGTCCAAAAGTTTGACATGTAAGTTACATTTTATTTTAATTTGTTTTGGGGTTTTTGCATTTTCACTTGACTTTCTGTTTCTTGTTTCTCATAAATTTCTTTAGAAAGTGTATCATTAAGTATACCATTTGTCCTGAATGAAACTGAATGAGTTTCATTTATCAAGTTTATCCTTTCAAAAAGGAAAAAAAAGAAGAAGCTAATATTAGTTGAAAAAGGTCTTAGGAGAGACAAGTCAAATCCAACATTCTAAACTACATGACTTTTTTACCAATAAAACAAAAGAAAAAGAAAAAGCGGATTGATTCATAGCACCTGTATTGCAGAAATGCTCAGATGTTCTCTTCTACTTATTTTGTGTCTTCAAGATTTTTTTTTTTTTTTTTTTTGGCTAAGTGATGAACATTTATGGTCTTGCTTTTGGGAAGTAGGCGGTAGTAATAAATCAGGTTGTTTAAAAAGAAAAGGAAGAAAAAGAATATCTGAAAATGGTTAATTGAAATGAGCAACAATACAGTTGCTCAGCCAAATGGTAAACTTGGTTCTTTAAAAGTTGTGAAATATCTGGAAGTGCTAGTTGGAGGGGGAGGCCTGCAACTGTTACCTATTTATCTATCTTATTCTGGTTTTTACATTCTGGTTAAAGCCACAGGAAATGTACCTGGTACCCCTCAGAGGGTCAATTTAAACACTGCTCCAAAGACAACTCAACAGGGTACAGTAATAGTTCCTAGTGTAGCAGCTCCAAAGAGGAGTTCTACTAGGGCTAGTTCAGCTGTCAATGTTCCAATTTTTAGCAAGTCAGATACCATACCTGTTATTGTCCCTAGAAATGACACGAAGTTGGAGCAGGCCACTCAATCAAGAAAAGAAGTTGGAATATCTGGGAGAAGTTTAGAGCAGGCTGCTGAATCTAGAAGAGAAGTTGCAATAGCTGGGAGAATTTTGGAGACAAGCCAACTGGCTGCTGAATCTAGAAAAGAAGCTGGAACAGTAGGGAGAACTTTGGAGCAGGGGGCTGATGCCAGAAAAGAACTTGGTATTGTTGGAAGAACAATGCCATTTTCTTTGCAGTCAAAGACATCTAGTTTTCGGAAGTTTCAAAATAGCAGGGAAGACATGGACCGGCCAGCTATCTCTGCTCTGTCTGAGACTACAAGTTCAAAGGCTGCTGATTTTAGCTGTGTTCTGGACAGGACTATTTTTCCTGCTGTTACAGGTTCAATTCAAGGAATGTCTGCTACTGAAAGGAATGTGAGGGAAGATAGGTGCATTGGCTCTGGAAAGAGTGAACCAAACTCGGTGATGGAGTTGCCTTCGAGCTACTGGGATGAAAATCGTATGTTTTTAAAACTCTTAATTTAAAGTTCTGCCTTTGATTCTGGCTTTTGTATTTAACTGCTTTTTCTTCCTGAAATTTTAAGGTTTCTATAATATATTGTTTGCTTCTAACCTCAACAATTTTGTTTTTAGTCTGTAAATTAGGTTATGACTGAAAATCTTTCTATTGAAATGCTTTTAGTAAAGAACTGTGCTTGATAGCAACCAGGGTTTTTCTTGAGACTTAACACGAACCGCTGAAAGAGTGAGATAGAAAGAACAACGAAGAGGCCCTTTTAAAATTTCTAATGATAACTTCTGTACTGTTTTTTTTTTTTTTTGGTCAATAACTTCTGTACTCTTTGGTTGCATAAAGAGAGTGTCATGTTTAGGTGCAATGAGCTCCCTTTGAAGGAATATAGGAAAATGTAAAAGAGTCTCTTTGGTATTTGAATATGACTCATTAATCGAATCTTTTAAATTTAAAGTTTATTGATATTTTATTGTTGACAATAATTTCAAACTCACTTATGAGGCATGATATCTCTTACCTTTGATATGAAAAACTGAAGAACTTAGAATATTTTGCAAAATAAAAGACTTGGGCTAGGGCTCATGGAGGAAAAAAAGACAGAAGAAAACTAAGATTAGGGCGTGTGGGAAAGTAACAGTGAAAAAAAATGAAATATATAGGGCCAAGGAAAGAGTTGCATATGGGTCGGTGTTGCCTATAAGTTAACCATTAGGTTAAGTATAGAAGTTCCATTAGAGCCTAAATAATTTACCTTCTAAGAGGTTCTTTCTGTTACACACGCACATTGGAACCATGTTAACTAAAGAATTGTACTTCTATGACTAATTCTTGCAGTCTATAAGTTGACTATATTTCTATTACATTTTAAGGCTGGTAAGGTGCAGTGGTAGGGAGGCAGTTTTGTGATTACCTTTAGCTCTCTTTAGGTTGTTATACCCTTGGGATTGCATATTTGGCCCTAAGGAATGTTACCATATAGCACCGTCCATGGTATTATTATTGGTCTTAGATTCCATACATTCTACTTGATGGAGGAGGAAAAGCAAAAAGAATGACTGATTTAATTTCAATTTCTGCTATATGCTCCTTAAGTAGATGGAATAGATCTAATTGGGTCTACCTTTAGGGCTATGATTTAAAATTTGGTTTGCTTATCTTGGCACTTGGCTAATTTGCAGGTGTGTTGTCATATTAAATGCATTCTTGATTTGTTTGGTTTTCAATTCGGTCTAGCTTGAGCAGGCTTTTATGCATTTTCTAGTTGGAATGTTCAACTATTCATGCTGAACTTTAATCTTTTGTTTCAGATGATGCACAACTGCAAAAATCACATAGAGATGCATATCCTTTAGAAAGCCAAAAAGGAGGTATATCTGTTAATGGCTGGTTGATATTATGCACAATTCTATGAAGTCTCAACTCATTTTCTCTGGTCTATTATTCAGGAAGAACACGTTCAGCAGTCAACAATTGCGAGAAAAGGGAGAGATCTTCTAATTTTGATGGACCTACTTTGAGTTTCTCTCCAGGGAATGCATCTGTGGCAAACATGTCTGCTTTCATTGCGGTAAAAACAGATCCAAGCTTTTATTAACTTTCTTTCCCTTTTTCTCTATGTTTGCAAAATTTCTGTTAATGCTAATTTAAGCATTCATGTTGTTATTTTTTGAAGCATAAACAAAGAGGATACCCTCCCTCTGTGGAAAAAGAAATGCCTACTGCCAGTGATGAGGATGCTGTTGCAGATTTAATGGAGCAGCATCGTCAATTCATTAGTTCCATACAGTCTCGTTTAACTAAGCTACAGGTGATTCTAGACAAACTAGAAGTCATGCTAATTGATTTGTTGGATGCTTTTGTTGTTCACTTCATAGTAAGATGTCTACAATGTTGAAGTTTTGATAGACGATTGCTCAACCTTGTCTATTATTGGTTATAGGTTGTTCATCGATTCTGGGAAAGAAATGACATAAAGGGGGCAATCAGTGCAATGGAAAAGATGGCTGATCATGCTGTATGCAGTTTTTAATACATCCATCCCTATTCGAACTTTTGTGCAAATCGAATATATTGAAGAGCCACTTCAGGTTTTCTTTTTATGATGCAAATTGCAGGTGCTTGCTGATGTGATGAGCATTGTCACTGAGAAAATGGACATTGTTACATTGGACATTTGTACTTGTCTTCTGCCCCTTCTATCTGGTCTCCTTGGAAGTGACATGGATAGGTAAGAACAGTGTCTTAATCTTGCATTTTTTATGCATTTTTATAGTCACTTGACCTGGGATTTTTATATTCTTTATTTTGGAAACATCAATTGCTTTTCAGTTGTTTTCGTAGCTTTAAGCTTCAATAGTCATAAGTTGGTTAAAATGATAGTATATTAGTACTTGTTTTGTAGCGCTCTGTGGTGTCAATTGTATCTACTAGTATCTGGAGTAAGTTTCAATATCTAACTGTGACGCTTGTGTAGGCATTTGAGTATCTGTCTTGACATGCTGCTTAAGCTGGTCAGGGTATTTGGTTCAATGATATATTCAACATTATCAGCTTCGACAACTGTTGGTGTAGACATTGAAGCAGAGCAAAGGTGTGTCTTCTTGCTTCTTAACTGAAATTAATGTTCAAATATTTAGTTATTGGACTATTGACTGAGATTTCATGCTGCTGATTGTCCTAGGTTTGAGCGTTGCAATGTTTGCTTTATAGAACTTGAAAAAGTAAAGCGCTGTCTGCCTGCTCTTACCAGGTGAGTATAGTGGTTATCAGACGTACATAAGCGTCATTGGTTTAATCAAATGCAGTTGTTCTATTCTCTATGACTTCTCTAGAGATCTCTTTTTCTTTTAAGGTTTATTTTTTCTTTTTGTTTCCTTTTTCTCCATAGAAGAGGGGGATCAGTTGCCAAATATGCTCAGGAATTGAATCTAGCACTTCAAGAAGCATCATGACTGAAATCAACGCATTCAATGCATAAACTAACTTATTCTGTGGTTTTATGGATTAAATTCTTACGTTGCCCTGGAGAGCAAGTTTTGGTACTTGCACGCGGGTCAAGCATCAAACCACTGCTTTGATACATATTGTCTTGTGAACTACTGCTGCACCTTGTACATTTTATACTAAGTGGAGCCTTTTTAACTGCTAAGCTGATTCTACTCCATTGACTGAAATGTGAAGACTGAAGGCTAATTGGGTTGTTACTCTTCTGCTGGTTGCTGCACAGTTTTTTCAACTCCAGTTTGTACCTGCATGGTGAAGAGCAAGTATATCGATCTCGTTTTACACTAACAAAATATGTTGTCACATCAATTTGTACGTTATGGCCTTTAATGATTAACTATTTTTTATTTATCATATGTAATATATAAAAACATACTTGTGTCAAAAGAAGGGACTGCAGGCAGATATGCGGGTTATGTCAATGTGTCGAAAATTCTGAAATAGAGCAATGTTGAGCTTCTATTGGTGCATGAGAAGTTGGGTTTGTCTTTGCATAATTTATTCTGTAAGATGAAAGGAAAACGAAACATAAACTATTCATTTTCCCCGAATAAAATATTTGAGTTGGTCAAGGGTTTTCCGTATTTTTCTCTTCAAATCAAAGCACTTCCTGACATTTGCATTCGTTGGCAGATTTTGATTTTCTTGCTGTGGTTGTAACGTTTTGTGGAAGGCGTGATGGTTAGTGGCTAGTCTTTTTTGGTTTATTGTTTTGATGGAGACTGGCCCTATAGTTGGCTGCCATCTAATGCAGTAAAATGAAAATCATGTCTGTGTTTTGAGCAAGCAATTAATGTGCTGGGTCGCTGTTCTATTGGAATGGTTACGATGATTGCTTTTAAAGCAAACATAGAACGAGGTTAGGGTTGTAATCGAGTCGAGTTGAATCGAATAGTGGGAAGTTTGAGTTTGAGTTTGACTTATAATTTGGAATTTGATACTTGGCTTGAGTTCGATCGAGTTTTATTTTTCAAGTTCGAGTTCGATTCGTGATCGAATTCAAGTTATTCGAGCTCGCTCGATTAAGCTCGATTAATATATAAAAATAAGTTCGATTCGTATACTCGACAAGAGTTCGATTATTCATGTTTGAACTCGAGCTCGAACTCGGACTCAAAATATTTTATTAATTAAAATAATAAAAATATATTTAAATATAAAAGTTCGATTAAGCTCACGAGTTACTCGAATCGGATATAAAAATATTCAAATTTGGCTCGATCGATAAGTTGAGCTACTCAAGCTCGAGCTCGACTCGATAATAATCGAACCGAATTCGAGTTTTTTTCGAATCAAATCCGAATAGCTTGCAAGTACTAATGTATCATTTATACCCTTAAACGAGACTATTCAACTCAAAACCTTAACCAGGATTACCCCTCGCTTGGAGTTAGGTCACTTCGCTCAAGGATCTGGATGGGTTGGTTAGATACGTATTCCCAGCGTATTCAATATTCTAAATATATAATTCTAGTAAATTTCAAATAAAAACTATTAACGTATATTTTAGAAAAATAAATACTTTAAATTGTTTCAAGCAAAGGCAATTTATCCATTTCTTATCCCCATTGTTTTTTTAGGCCTTTTATACAATATTCTAACAACAATATAATGAATGAGAGCAACTGTGTTTTTTTTTTTTTCATTTGTTCCTTGCCAAAATGTCATTTAAATTCAAGTTCTTTACTCAAATTATTTTAATATTTTTTATTAAAACAAATAGTGTTCTTAGCATCCAAAATTTATATAAAAATACTTGAATGATTTGATACACAGTTGTTAAAAAAACAGAGAATTTTCTTTTTTTTTTATACTTAAAATTATTAGAATTGAACTTTAACCATAGAAATTAATTAAGAATACAATACTCTGTTAACAAACCACATAATTGGTATCTTTTTCTTTCTTTTTGTCAATTGTTAAGAACCCAAAACCAGAATTTCTAACTCATTCAAATAGCAAAACTCTTACATCCCCCAGTTATAATGTAATTGATTTTAATCGAAATAAAATATAAATTAACAAAAATGTAATTTTAGACATGAAAAATAACTAAAAAAAAAAAACCGCTAAATAAATTTGAGGTGTTGTATTTGTTTCATTTTTATTTGGAGTTTGTTTATGAATAAATATGCTAAAAGAAAAAAAAAAGAGCTTTTCAATTACTAAATTTAAAACAATTAAGTTTCAAGTTTCTCATATAACTTAATTTTGTTTGCATTTATAAAAGTTAGGAAAAATTTTTATTTAATAATTAATGAATAAAAATATAATTGATTTTTTTTGAAAAAAAAATTATTAAGTACAAAAAAAGTTAAAGACTTGGAAAAACAAAAGGAAATAAGAGAGTTAAAAAAAAAAAAATTAAATAGTGGATGGATTGTCATTTGCCAAATATGAAAATAATAGTGCAAGAATTGATTAAAATGTCTTGTATAATATAATTGTTTTCATGTTTGCTTTGGTTGTTTTCATATTTACTTTCAAATATTTTTAATCAAAATTAAGGATTAAGGATTATTTTTTTGGTGTGATTGTATTTCTTGAGACTTGCTATTAACATACGTTCAAAAACTTTAATTAACTCCAATCAGTTTTTAATACTTTTTTAAATGCATAACTTATGTTGTTTATATCTCGTTGATATAATTTTTTTATTTTCTTATTTATTTAATATTAAGTTAAGTTTAATGTGTAATAAATTTCTTGGAGAGTGACTTTTTTTTTTTTATTTTTTATTTTTATGAATGGGATATTTTCATTTGTTAATAAAAATTTTTATATTAATATTAATATTTTTAATTCATGAGTATAAAACAATAAACATATATGTTTAATAAATTTTAGAAATAATGATAGAGTTTTTATTTTTAAATATGTATGAATCAAATTTGAATTATAAATAATATTATAAATATTTTTTAATATATTATTTACATTTATATTGAACTTTATTAATCTATCGGTTTAAATTTTTAATTAAAATTTTTAAATCATTTTTAATAAAGAACTTAATGAATTTTACTTAAAAAATCTTATATAAGTTTTATGTGTTAACAATGGCGACCATGTACTCAGAATGATTCTACTGCATCTCCGATTGGTTCATGTCGAAAGATGGATCGGTGTGGCCACATTGCACTGTCAATACGACTGAGTTCCAAGTAAAGAAAAAGGTGAGTAAAATTCCTTATGAAACGTATATAACCACAATTTTAACACGGGAATTTTAAGTAATTCAATTTGAGATCGTGCATATTTGCAATCAAATTTAGACATACAGGTAGCTTGGTATGTTTGATATGAGATAAAGGCTTTGGGATTCTTACATGTCAATGTATAAATATAGGAAGTTCTAAAATGGGTTTTCACGTATGATTGGTTACCCTGTCTATCAAATTCCAGTGACAAGGAATGTGAAACAACTATCAGCTTGTTTCCTTACCATCCATTGTTATCTTTATTTCAAGCTACTCTCTTCAAAACCACTTCTCATCTTGATTTTAATAATGAAACCATATGTTATAATCAACAATATGCCAACCATATATCTGGGTTGATTAGATCTTAAATTAAGTATTTCGCCTTATATAATTGGTACGGAATCATTAGCTCTCAATTGTAAAACAAAATTTGTCATAATCCTCACTATTAACAGCTGTTTTCTACATTACTATATTGAGTTTCCCAATAGATTTTTTTAAAAATAATAATGCTACAATGCTACCAAAAACAGCAGGTATGAACTTTATAATTCAATCTGAACCATTAGATTATCTGCCTATACGTAAAACTTTAACAACATTTAATAACTAAAAGATCAATGACACTTATTTATTCTAAAACATTGATAGAAACTAGGGTGATCCTCAAACAAAGAGAATATTAGACTGTGTGAACAACTGCCTAGATGTTCAGCTTAGAACAGATACAAATATGAAAACATGAAATGACTGCAAATATTTTTCAACAGAAGCGGGATGATACAAGAGAAAAAGGATGAGAGCATCAATCTCAGGTGCCTAAACAATTAGGAGCCAATAACTTGTGTCACCAGTAATCTAAGAAGCCAAAATAGAGTGCTCCTCCTATAAATCCCCTATAAATCAAGAGTAAAAAAATTAAAATTCTGCACAATGCAAAGTGGCAATGGTACAAAGAAGCATACGGAAATAAAATCTTTTCTTTTTTGGATAACATATTGAAATAAATTCAAATATCTGAACAAGCAAATTCATCTTCTTCACAGTTCTTTTAGTTGATGCAACAGATTTACAGAATGCAAACAGCCAGGTATCCATAGCCATAAGCCATAGATGCTGGTTACAAGTGTCAGCATTTTGCATTTTTCTCAGCAGGTAGTAGACAGCATAACCAGGTGTATAAAGACAGTAGGATATGTAGCGCATTCATGATAAGCATCCAGAATGAAGTACTAGTCAATGACTTTATCAAATTGTACTTGGAACTTTCAAATTGTATACCAAATTAGTCCAAACACTAATATTATTAACTCAGTTTGCCTACGTGTCATATATATATGTGTATATATAAACTTATCATTTCTAACAAAGGTTACATATGAAACATAAGCAATCATCAAACTATTTCCATGACCTAGACACGAGCAATCAAATTACATAGCTTGTCCTGTATTTTGCATTCACATCATCTGATACCTCAAGAAACAACATGCATATACAAGAACTCAAAGATGTACCTGCATTTTACTTAAGACTGAGATGGAATCATTCCTGTTTTCCTTGCATATGCAAAGATCCCTCCAGCCTCAATGACTGGCCCTGCATCCCCAATGGGCTTTAATTTATACTCTTTGCCAGTGGTATGATTGATCAAACGACTCTTCCCCAACTCAATTGTCAAAACATCCCCAGTCGTACATTCCTCACATATTCTCACATCTGATTCTAATGGATAAACTTCCCCTGTTGCAACAGAATTCCTGAAAAATATTCTAGCATATGATTCAGCCACCACTGCCTTCACCCCTGCAGCCCCAAGTGCCACAGGTGCATGCTCACGTGAGGACCCACAGCCAAAGTTAGCACCACCTATCACAATGGAGTATTTTGTCTTAGTCTCATTTGGTTCAATAAAACGCGTGGCATATGATGAAGGGAGGCCGACAAGAGCGTATGAGCCCAATTTCTCATACTCATCTGGGTTTGATGGAACTAATGTAAGGTATTCTGCAGGAATTATTTGGTCTGTGTCAATATTATCCCCAATGACATAACAAAGGCCATGGAAGGTTGTTGTTGATGAGGTGTCAGAAGGAATAGAGGAGGGTGTGGAGGTGGCATGTGCAGTAAGGGTGATGGCATGTGCCGCATGTGGGGTGAACATGGAACTGAAGGGTTTGACGGTCAAAGGGGAGAAGGTGGGGACTTTGATGGAGGAAGGGGAGAGAGGAGATGGGGAGAATGAGTTTTTTGATGCCGAGGAGGTAAAGGTGGCTGAGCATGAAACATGAGACAAATAGGCAGCCATTATTGGAATGTTTGGTGTTAATACAGTCTAATACAAGGATGGTTATGTGTTAGCTTTGTGCTGAGAGTTATGCTTGATACCAACTTCAAATTTCACCACGAATATGAAGCAATGTTCTGCGATGTAGAGTATTCTGCAAGGCAATGGTTACGTAAGGAACTGAAGGCACAATCAGACAGTAAATTGAGAAATATTTTCCATAAATATATACCAATATATATACATGATAATAGATACAAATGTATAAACACACATTAAATATCGGCCCACATGTACATATATTCAAAACTTTTTCCATGTAAAAACATAAATGGGCAGAATACACTACTGAAATTATAAACCACAATTGATTAGTATTTATTTTATTTTTTGCTTAAAAAAAAACCTAGAGTAATCATTCTTAAAAACAAAAATTACATGACAATAAAACAGTGGTTCTTCCCAGTCATAATCTCCTGCCTCTCTCTCGTGCCCAAAAGAGAAGTAAAGAAATTTAAGGTTACTAGTAAAAGTTCAAAGTTTTGAAACTTAAAGAAAAGGATCCTACTCCATGCTTCAGCGTAAAAATCAATATTTGCAACTTTGTTTGGTGATATTAAGAAATGTGAAGGCAACTTCCCCTCAAAGATTGATGGACAGTGCACAAACATAATTAATTTACCTACAAATGTCATGGAATTAAATATATTTATTTCAAACTTTCACTTGTTATCATTTACTCTTTCCTAAACATATCATATGAAATGGCTTCAACTAGTGACTGGAAATTAGCTGCATCCTAACAAAATATTACATGCAGTTCACAAGTACAAAAGGGTAATTAAAAAAAATAGTATTAATCAAAGAGGAGTAACAGCATAGCCGAAAGATTCCTCATTCAGGAGATTCAGATAAATCCAGAGATGGAAGGTGAGAAACAGGAAACAGAAAAATGTTAAATCAGAAATTAGGAAAATTGTCTATAAAATCTAAATTCAATCAAGATTATACTTTCAGCAGTTTCACACCCTAAATTCATGTTATATTAACCAATTGCTCAAACAATCCACTCCTTCATATAAAACTACCCAAAATTTAAGATAAAGCAAAGTATTAAAGGATTTCAACGACATTATACCACCACAAAGAAGCATGCAAAAGGAGATAGAGAAAAGAGAGGGTCAAAGAAGAGTAAAGGAAATACCGTTGATCAGGGTGGAAATGGTCACGGTAGCTTGATGGCGCATACGGGTTCCGCAGCAAAGTCAGTAAATGGCGGCTCTAAAATGTTCCGAAGGGTTTTTTTCTCAAAGAATGGGTGGATACTTGATGGTAAAAAAAATTACACTGTATGGGTAAGATAGGAAAAGCAGCTTTTTTTTATTTTTGGTTTGGGGGGGTTGGGGGGCAATAAGGGCCAAAAGAGTAGTAAAGGAAGTGAGAGAGCAATCCAAAGTCCAAACGTAACCAACGCCACAAGCCGGGATATGGTAAAGGAAGGAAATTGAGGGGAAGAGATAGAGTGACTGAGAGAACAGAGGAAAAAGATGGCAGCCGCGGCTCTTCATGATGTGGTCCGGCTACGACCGCTGCATTCCCTTCAGCAGAGGAAGGATAGAGGACCCAGATTCAGAGGAAACCTCGCTTTCCCTCGGCTTTACAGTAACAAGCCCCCCATTCTTGGTCTTGGTTATGGCAACCGTAGTTTGATCACTTGCTACCGTGACCAATCCCTTGAGTCTGGTGGCAGCGTGTTAGGGTTGAGCGAGATAAAGGAGAAATGCAGTAAGTGGCAATGGAAAGGCCAGTACTTCATCAATTACCTTGTTTCTTCCTCTTCTTCAAATGCAGAAGCCAATCCTCCTCTGCTTCTTGTTCACGGGTTTGGTGCCTCCATTCCTCATTGGCGCAGGTAACCCAAGTGGAAAGATAATTTTTTTCAATTATTTTGATAATGGTAGTATTTCAACTGTTTTAACAATTCTTGTAGGAATATTGGCACATTGGCTCAGGATCACACTGTCTATGCTATTGACCTTCTCGGTTTTGGTGCTTCAGATAAGCCACAGGGTTTCTCATATACCATGGAAGCTTGGGCTCAGGTATGCAACTAAGCAATTAAAAAGTGGGATGATTTTCTGGTATGGGATCAACGTTTTAGTCAAAATTAATCCTTCTAATCTCAATATGATTGTACACAGTTGATATTAGATTTCTTGAATGAAGTTGTTCAGAAGCCTACTGTGTTGATAGGAAACTCTGTTGGAAGTCTTGCGTGTTTGATAGCTGCCTCAGGTAGTTAAAAACTCTTTCTTTTGGAGGATAGAATATCCTGGGCTTGCTTTGTTGTTTATGAAACAATATTAGAAAACCTTTCTAGTTTTTGATGACTGTACTGCCTGGGACAAGACTCTAGTCAAAACCTGGTTCGAGGGCTTGTGCTGTTAAATTGTGCTGGTGGGATGAACAACAAGGCGATTGTTGATGATTGGAGGATCAAGCTCTTGTTACCTTTGCTTTTGTTGTTTGATTTCTTATTGAAGCAAAGAAGAATTGCCACAGCAGTCTTTGAGCGGGCCAAGCAAAGGTATTCTATTCAGTTCAAACATTCCTTCTCTGAAATTCAATTGTAAATGCCTGCCAGGGTATTTATGTGTACTTTTGTTGTTATGTTTAATGCAGAGATAATCTAAGGAATATTTTATTATCTATTTATGGAAATAAAGAATCTGTGGATGATGAACTGGTTGAGGTACAGGTGTACTCCTCTAGCTGTATGTAGTCTATGGTCTGCTGCTATTAACATCAACTTGCTATTGATGTTTTTTACCTGAAAAATGCAGATCATCAATGGACCGGCAAATGATGAAGGCGCTCTTGATGCCTTCGTCTCAATTATAACAGGCCCACCAGGGCCAAACCCTGTGCAATTGATGCCGAGAATTAAGTTACCTGTCCTAGTTTTATGGGGTGATCAAGATCCTTTCACCCCTCTTGATGGGCCGGTAGGTAAGTACTTCTCTTCCTTGCCTTCACAATCGTCAAATGTGAGCCTTTTCGTGTTGGAAGGAGTAGGGCATTGCCCCCATGATGATAAACCTGACCTAGTTCATGAGAAGTTGCTTCCTTGGTTGGCTCAACTAACTGCCTCATGAAAGTCATTGCTTTTCCGAGAAACAGGTGGGCTTTTTGCATTAGATTTTTTAGAGCATGCATGCTATCCCTCGTAAAATGATCCAAGGAATATACAAATGATATGCCATGTACTCATGTTGTATTCAATCTTGTATATATTAGTAGTTTCATTCAATCATTCGAGTCTTTTCAGAAAGACGCAAAAGGTAAATGAAGCAAGCCATGCACTTTTCTGTACAAATGAGTGTTGCTTTTCCTCTTTTCCGGTCTTCCATTTGTGCTGGATATAGTTCTGCGTTGAATTGTTATTGTTGATTGCATGATGTACAACAGCACGCGTACATATGTATGAATTTCAATGATTAGATTAAAAATTTTTCCATCTTCTGTACCAAACACAACGTAAAATGTAATTATGTAAGACGTGTTTTGTTGTATGACAGTGAGATTAAATGGAAAATAGTATCATTCTTATAAAAAATGAATGAACATAGAATAAATTTGATTGATTTTTCATTTTTCATAATTGAAAAAATATAACTATTATATAAGAAAGGGAAATTCTATTTGCAACTTTTTTTTTTTTTCAACCAAATGCTAATTGCAACCAAATTTTAAACACATTTTAAAAAATTTACTAATACAACCAATCGAATAATATCAACATTTAAATTTATAATTTTTTTAAAAAATAAATATACGGAATGTTTTTAACCTTTTTGAAAATGTATATTCGAAAATGCTAAAACGTTTTGGAAATACAAATCCTCTAAATTAAAAACTTTCTTAACATGCATTTTTGTATGCCAAATAAATAATACTTACAAATGTGTATTTTCAAAAATTATTTATATATACGAAATTTTGTTTTCGTAAATTACCAAGTACCTGGAAATACATATTTGGAATTTGCAATTTTTTTTTTTTTTGAAATTACAAAAAGATTAAGTGTGTGGTTCGATGATTCAAAAGTAATTTAAGCAAAGATAATTATATAATTTTTTTTAAGAATAATTTTGTCATAAAAATTTTAATTTTTTGGTTGCAAAATGCAAACAGATGGGTATTTTCCTATTAGAAAATTTAAACACAAAATTACCCCTTTTAATACAAAAAACCTAATAAATCTTTTTTTTAAAAAAAATTAATTTTACGAAAATCACAATGCAAAATGACAGGATTTCATTGAGAAATTTTCGTGGACAAATAAAAAAAAAAAAAAACCTTAGGCTCCGGTCCATTGGGCCCAAAGGAAAAAAGGGTCGAAGAAAATGAGATATAGCGAAGAAGATGAGGATTGAGATGGCCCACTAACTCATCTCTTCCTTTGGCTCCTCTCCAATTGAGCGTTACTCGTCATAGAGGGTTTCGATTCTCTATTTATTATCTTTTCATTTTTATTTTTTTTGAAATTTCTTCACTTCCGCAAAAAAGAAGGCAACTCTCAAAGCAAGGTTTCTTTATAATTTCTCATCAAAATTTATTTTAAATACTCATTTCTAACACTTTGTTTTTCAATCCTTTAATTCAGCTATTCCCCCATGGCTTCCAATTTGCAGAAGGAATCCACTGCAGCTGGTGAGTTTAATCTCAGATTCGCTTTCTTTGTTCTTTTTCTTTTAAATTGGATTGGGATTTGTTCTGAGATCTATCCGAGCTCCGTCTGGTTAAATGAATTTACTCTTTCAGCTTATTCTAATTATTCCCTTTTACTACTAAGTTTAGGTATTGAATTGATCTGATTTTCGAATCCCAAAAAAAAGCTATCTTTCCTAGGTATTGTCAATAATATCTTGTAATGTATTCCTTTTTACTACTTAAATTAGGTATTGTTTAGGGATTTTATTTGCTAGGGATTAATTAATTTCGTTTTGTTGGAGTTTAACGATGATGGATTCCTATAGGACTTGGTTTGAGAAAGTATAGTAAACTGATAAGTTGGTTGTTCTTCATGTTTCCCTTGTCTTTGTTAGATGAGAAATCGACTTTGACAATGGAGAACAAAAGTCCGAAACCAGAAACATCCACCACTGAGAACAAAACTTCGAAACCAGAAACTTCCACTGGGGTGTCACAACCAGCACAGGCTGGAGCTTCCCCTGCCCCAATGCCTGGACTTGGGTTTGCTCCACCCAATCCGTTTGATTTCTCAGCCATGAGTGGCCTTCTTAATGTAAGCTTTTCTCCTTTTTATTTTAATTCATCTTTGCATTATTGTGAATCGTTTCTTTGAATGAAAAACCCAATAGTCTTTAAGTTATTGATTTGATCACCATTTGATAAGTTACTGATTTGTTTACCTTTTGATCATCTTAGCTCATCTTTTACTATGCATCCTTGCTAATGCTGCAGTAGTAGAACATCTTAAGGTTTACGGTTAATCTCATCGATAGACTGTTTTCAGAAGTGTAATTAAGGGCTGGGAACTTATAGAATAGAACAGTGTCCATTGATGATTTTTGAAGCTTAGATAAAGAGTGTAAATTTGTCTGTAGTTGCTGTTATACAAGGGATATTAAAATTTGTTGGATCTGGATTATGGGACTCAATGCAACATATCCAGAATGGGGTGTCAAGTAGAGGTGGCAAACGGCAGCTTAAGGTTGAGTCATTTTGGATTTGAGTTATTTTGCATCGTTTTGGGTTTGGGTCGTTTTTAATCGGGTTTTCTTGAGTTCGGGTTAGAACAAAATAGGTAATAAATTTGTAATAAAAAAAGTCATTAATTTAAAATTTTAGTATTAAGTTTGGATTATTATGGCATTGGGTTGGATCAGTCTCAGGTTCAGGTTGTTTTGAGTTCAAGTCTTTGACTTTTTGGCTGATTCGAGATTGGGCATGTTCTGAAGTTTGTTATTCTTGTAACTGATTTGAGATTGATATTAATCTCATATTTCTTTTTTTTTTTCCCAATTTTGAGGCCCTAACAGCTTTGTCTTTTAAGTCTAGACACATTCTAATTTATGGCTTATGGATGTTAACCATCTTGGTTTCTTAGGATCCAAGCATCAAGGAACTAGCTGAGCAGATAGCAAAAGATCCTTCATTTAACCAAATGGCTGAGCAGCTTACTAAAACGTTTCAAGGTGCAGCGATTGAAGAGAGTATGCCGCAGTTTGATGCACAACAGTACTATTCAACTATGCAACAGGTTATGCAGAATCCTCAGTTTGTGACCATGGCTGAGCGCCTTGGTAATGCATTAATGCAGGTATATGTGTGCTCAGGTGTCAGTTTAAGTGGTTGCATGATTCTTTTAGTCTTACGCTTGTATTACATTACATGAAAATTACTTCTGGTACATGACATTTTAGGTTCGTCTTTCTTCAGGATCCAGCTATGTCTAGCATGCTTGACGGTTTGACTAATCCACAACAGAAAGAGCAGATTGAGGAAAGGATGGCACGTATCAAAGAAGATCCATCATTGAAACATATTCTAGAAGAAATAGAGACTGGAGGTCCCACAGCAATGATGAGGTGGGTGATCAAAATAATAGGAGAGTATGAGCATCATAAATACATAAGCTTGTGAGCATAACATTTTCTTCTTTAGAATGTGTGTAGGATGTGTGCATTCAACTATTTCTTCAGTAAATTAATAAAGAAAAGGTTTCTGGTCTAGGTACTGGAATGATAAAGACGTTCTGCAGAAGTTGGGTGAAGCAATGGGTCTTCCAGTTTCAGGAGATGCAGCCACTTCTGCTGGTAACCCTGCAGCAGATGAAGTAGATGAAGATTATGAAGTAGGAAATGAGGATGAGCCAATTGTACATCATTGTGCTAGTGTTGGTGATGTTGAGGTATGGGAGAATGAATGTTTGTACTTATGTTCTTCCCCTTCCAGATATAATCTAGAAAATCTTGACTGTATTCATGATTTAGGGTCTGAAAACTGCACTGGCCTCTGGTGCTGACAAGGATGAAGAAGATTCTGAGGGAAGGACAGCATTGCATTTTGCATGTGGATATGGTGAGGTATAATAATTTTATATCGGGATTTCTTTTCCCTCCTCTCTCTCTCTCTCTCTCCCTCCCTCCCAGATAGTTTTAATGAATAATTGTCTACAAATGTGCAGTACCAGTCTCTAGTGTCTTTGTATCATAAATAATTATTGCAGTCCTTAATGCACTAAGGACCTAATAGCCTTATTGGTGTTACTTTTAGGACAGACAGTCTACTTAATAGACTGTCAAAAGCAGTTTGGGACGGTAGGACTTGGACCCTTAAGGCATCCTTTTGCTTGTAGCATCTCATCTTGTGACCTTTGCAGTGGGGAAAAAGTTTATATATATCTAGACAAAATCAATCAGGCTTTGCTCTTTTTTTTAATGAATTATTATTATTATTATTAGTGTATCCTGGAATCTGTCAGCTACTAACTTGGGCTTGATTCTTGGTTTAATGGTTCTTTTTGCCATCTATATCGAGAATCCCTTTAATAAATGATAAATTTATTTTTGAGATACATTGATTGTACCAAATTTGGACAGGGAAGTGCATAGCAAAAGAACAAAAAAGAAATAGATATAGTCTAGCAGTTTACATGATTTTATAGGAGATTAGATTATTGGGTTATCGGGCTAGTTTTAGGTTATGTTTCTTCAGTTTTGGGAATTTCCTTGCAAACGGATGGGTTTGATATCGTGTTTATTATCCGGGGGTAAAGCAGATAAAGTTTCGATTTTATTTTAGGTGAAATGCGTTCAAATCCTTCTTGAAGCTGGAGCAACCGTGGATGCTTTGGACAAGAATAAGAATACTGCACTTCATTATGCAGCTGGTTATGGAAGGAAAGACTGTGTGGCCCTTCTACTGGAGAATGGCGCAGCTGTGTAAGTAAACAAAATGTCGGCTAACTATTGATGCTGACCTCTTATGATTATATTGATATTTTTCTTAAATGTAATTTCTTCTTTCTTACTGCAGCACTCTCCAAAACATGGATGGCAAGACTCCCATCGATGTCGCCAAGCTCAACAATCAGAATGATGTACTAAAGTTGCTGGAGAAGGATGCCTTCCTGTGAGTTGGGAGGGGGCAATGGCACCTGTATGTTTGGGTCTAGCATGTTATATAGGCAGTCACTATTGTATGAGACAAATTTGCTTTTGATCGGTATGGGGTTGTGATCACTACCCGACTCGTTGTCTATGCTGTCTGGTTGCTACATTTTGGAATTTTTTTTTTTTTAAATTAGTATTTCAAATTTATTTCCTGAAATAGTTTCAATGTGGGGAATGGACCATGTGGACCACACACCAACATGTCCACATGTTCATTTAATCAAGATTGAAGGCCTGTATAATGAAAAAGAACCTTTTTATTTTGTTTGTTTTTGTTAATCAAAGTAAAGAAAAGCATTGAAGGTTCAACTTTGGATGACAAGTTGGTATTCACCAGCTTTTTGGTTTAGGAATGAAGTGCGTATCAAGTGAGGAGTCGGAATTTGTTAACGTGTGCAATTTAGCTATGTAGCAAAGGAGGAAAGCAGCTGGCGACATATGCGTGAATAACATGCTGTCTGCTAGGAGAGCCAAGAGAACAAGAAAAAATATATTAAAGCAGAAAACCACGAGAAAAATTGTAAAAAAAAAAAAAAAAAGGTCAATCCAATCATTTTTGTCTCTTTACTTTTAATTAATAATAATAACATCATAATAGTATAACCCGTCGCAGGACTTGAAGTTGGACTTGCTGACCTGGCCTGGCCGGTCCCCTTCCCTCCCCTGTATTATCTCTATTATATCTCTTGGTATTTGATACTATATATTTTTATACTGTTGATACTTAAAAATAAAAATTTATAATTAAACAAATTAAATACTTAAATTTGGTTTTCATATATTTAATTATTTCATGAATCATCAATGCTGTAATAATCAACATTTAAGTGATTTAATTAATAATAAAGCATAAAAATGTCACGTTAAATTATTCGTCAACGTATAAATCTCAAGAAAAACAAATTAAAAAAAAAAGTCAAAGGGAGAAGAGGAAAAAAGCAGAAGCAGAGAGGAAAAAGAGTAAGCCGCCAATTTGCATAGTCCAGAACATATCCACGTCAGCCTTTGCTTTTTCCTCGCATCTCTTTCTTTTCTTTTCATCCTCCCTTGTCTCACCGACTCCTTTTTCTCTTATTTTATATTTTGAATTTTTTGTTTTTTATTTTTAATTTCAAAGTTCTCTAAAAAGAAATTTGATTTTAATTTTTTTATTTCAAATTGAAAATTAAAAAGAAAACATATATATTTTTTACTTGAACTCACAAATAACGTTTTGTTTACTAACAAAGGTATTAATCCCGTAAGTTATTTTATTTTTTCACGAAATTTAAATTTAAATATTTAATTGTAAATTTCTATTCATTAAATATTAATTTTAAAAATGTTATATTTTAAATATCACAAACGGATTTAACGTTTCCTATTAAGGGATTATTACGGCCGTTATTTTTATATAGTAGATTTTTCTTTTCTTTTCTTGTATCAGCTGGGTTCTGGCCTGATTAGCATCTGTGGGGAGAGAGCTGGAGAGTGCACAGTGGAGTTTCAGATCTGTCTTCGAGTCAAACAAAGCGCCAACATCAGTTTCAATTGAGACATGGGGACAGAGAAGAAACAGTCATCAGCCGTATCAGATGTGGGAGCTTGGGCTATGAACGTTGTCAGCTCTGTTGGCATTATCATGGTCAACAAGCAGCTCATGTCCCCTAGCGGTTATGCCTTCGTCTTTGGTCAGTTTCTCTTCTCCTTCAACCTTCTCTTTTTCTACCTGATTGTTCCTACACTTTTTAAGTCCTGCCTTTGTTAATCTCAGATCTGGAAACTTACACTTTCTCAACCTCAATCTCCCTTCTTGTCGCCAGTCACTGCATGTCCCTTTTCTTTTTTTAATCTCTGGCAGATCCCCTGAATGTTATATCATTATCTTCACTCAATTTCTCAAAATTTTGATTTGCTGATTCTTATGCCTGAATGGGATTCTGGGCAAAAATGGATTCTTTCCTCACAGATGTCTTGTTTCCCGGGGAAGAAAAAAGAAGAAGAAACTCAATTCACTAAAGCTTAATTTTGCATTACAAAGTTCTTGAAATGCAAATTACATTAGATAGACTCCATTGATCCCTTTTTCCTTAATTTTCTTTCATTTTTCAGCGCCGCTTTGCTTTAACTTGGACCATGAATTCTGGAACTGTAAATGCTGATCTTATCCTGAAAGGCTTAGTTATAATGCATATCATTTCAACTTTTAAGGATCTTTTCTTAGGACATAAGAGTACTTGCTGCCCTCTAAACGGAGCTGCCAGTTAGAACTATGAAATCTCCGATGGTTTTGTTTTGGCTGCAAGAAAAGATGTATTATTACTAATGCAAAAATAATTTAGTTCTGCAACATCAACACAAAGCACAGACACACCTCGGAATCTCTAAAACATCCCATTTAAGGGGAGCGGGAAATCCATCTCTGATCAAAACAAAAACCAGAGAGGATGGTGGCTGTCCATACAAGCTGAATCAACACTAACTTCACACCTTTCCATCTATCATTTCTTACCACTACCCCGAACCTTGCTTTCCTTGATTCTGGCAGAAAGCACCATCAACATTAACTTTCTATGATCCTTCACCTGGACAATTCCACACCTCTGGAACCCCTTGATCCTGTTTGATCCCCTTTCGTTGCCTGCATCTGCATCTAGATTATACTGTGCACCTTTTCTTTCTCTATTTTTAAGCCATAACTGCCTCCGTCCACACCACCTAGTTCACCCATATGTTAAGTGCATGTGCTCAACTGTTTCTTCTTCCTACTAGCAAACCAAACAGGTAGGATTATCTGTACACTTCCTTTTCCATAGATTTCTCTTTGTGGGAATAGCATTGAAAGTACTCTCGAAGAAATACCTTGATCTTGCTAGGCACGTTCAGACTCCAAATCTCTTTCCATACTTTGCTGAGTAGGTTGTCTGTTGTTAACATGCTCCATCTCCTTATGACTGTCTATCCAGATCTTACTGTGCATGCCCTTCATCAGTATGAGGCCGCACCATTTTATCAGAACCACTTTGATTACTGATAGGAATCTCTAGTATTGCTTGCTTGTCTTCAGTAATAGCGATCTACCATGTTTGAAGCAATATTTTTTCAGTAACTCTTGGACAACCAAGTCCATGCTTCTGCTTGTAATCCTCTTTAGTTTGTTCCCTTAACTTCACAAGTTTTGAAAGTTTGATGGGATGATGAGTTGAGATGACTATTAACTTTCCAGAATCTCGATAATCTCTTTCTATTCAACCTCAAAGTTCAATTTAATCTTTGACAATGAAATTAATAGATATGCTTCATCCAAATTTATCAAATCTGAGACAGGCACTGTTTATTTTCTGGTATTGGATTTTTTTTTTAACATTTCATAGTAGTTTGGCCATCTGGACTGGTGTTGCCAAGTGTTGGCCAGCAGTCACACTGGAATGCAGTAGATTTAAGTCCTTTGGTCTCTCTCTCTCTCTCTGTGCGTGTGTGTAAATCTAAAAAAATTTCCTGCTTTTGCAGCAACAACTTTAACTGGGTTCCACTTCTCTATGACTGCCTTAGTCGGTTTGGTGTCTAATGCCACTAGTTACTCAACAAGAAAAAAGGTTCCTTTGTGGGAGCTTCTTTGGTTCTCAATCTTTGCCAATACTTCAATCACCGGGATGAACCTAAGCCTCATGCTGAATTCAGTTGGATTTTACCAGGTAAGTGACCACTAGTAAATGCTATAGCAAAAATAAAAAAGATCAATAGTAAGTTTCTTTCCTAATTACACAATATATATATATATATATTTATTTATTCCAGTTCAGATCTTCGTCATGATCGTTGTGATTTAGATTTCAAAGCTAATACTGACGTTTACCATTATGATACAGATTTCAAAGCTAAGTATGATTCCAGTTGTTTGTGTGATGGAATGGATTCTCCACGGTAAACACTACTCAAGCAAAGTCAAGATTGCAGTCATCGTGGTGGTGGTTGGTGTCGGTGTTTGTACAGTTACTGATGTAAAAGTTAACGCACAAGGATTTGTTTGTGCCTGTGTCGCTGTCCTGTCCACCTCCTTGCAACAAATTGTAAGCATTTCTTATTCTACATGTTTTTTTGTTCCGCTTGAAAGCATTTATCATTTATCCATTCAATCGACTTCTGATTACGGTGCATGAAGCCTTCAAACCATTATAGCAGTTTATATCTAATAAATGCTGATATTTTGAAACCATTTTTTTCATTTTAGGCACCGTTTTATAACCTGAAAATAACTTCTAGAAGTAAAATATTTTTCATGAAATTTTTTTTTTGTAAAAAACAATATTTTCTACCGTTTGAAGAATTTTATGAAAAATATTTTCTGCTGTTGGGATGACAGTAACCAAAAATATTTTCCACCAGCATTCATGAAATTTTTTTTAATGATTTTAGCACTTTTCATAAATATTTCATATTTTAATCATAATCTTTTATCAAAGTTTTTCATGATTTTATCAAAAACAAATCCATCAACTCAAAACTCAACCATATGCATATTCATAAAAATTTAAGAAAAAACTCGTACAAATTCATATCAATTCATGATACCTACTTCAAATTAATTAAAACCCAATCAAAATCGTTAGATTTGAAGGCTTTTTACTTGTGGGTAGTGGACTTTAGCTAAAGACTTTTGTGGTTTTTTTATTTTTGAAGTACGAAAATTATTTGTGAACAATTAAAGAAAGATTAAAAAACAAAACAAAAGGATGGAGAATTATGGAGATCTTTGAGTTTTTATGGTGGTTGTGAAAAAAAAAAAAAACCTAAAGTATATGGAAGAATTCAAGGAAAAGAGATAAAAATTTGGAGATGCTTATGGGTTTTTTTTGAACGACATGAAGGAAAAATAAAATTTTGAAGCTGAGACAAAGCTTTGGCCAAAAAAAAAAAAAAGAAAAGCTGAAACATCTAAGAATCCTTTAGTGCTTAATGTCCCACGAACAAAATAGAAGATAGAAAGCAAAGGAAATGGAAGAAGAAAAAAAGTGAAGAATGTGGTGACTTGTGATTGTGAAAGAGTTAAAAGTTTGAGAGACAATGGTGGGTTTGTCGGGGGAAACTTGTGGAAATTGTTTTCCGTGACAGACGAGTGGAACACAATTTCCGCATGTTCTGTTTTAATTTTTTGTTGACTTCAAAGTATTTTCTGTTGGCCATAATATTTTTGCCATTCCAAACGTAGGAAAACACGAAAACTAACTTCGAAAATCATTTTCATGGTTATTTAAAACATGAGACACGTCTCATCTACTGTTCTTCAAACTTGTCTATTTCCTGCCATGGCCTGTAGTGATCTAGATTCTTGAGGATCTTTTGTATGATTAATGAATAGAGTTGTTTAAATTAAGATCATCATGGCTACAAAATCTTAACAATAAGAAGATGAGTTACCTTTCTGTATATGCAAAGGATAAAAAATTATTTCTAATTGAAGTAAATTATGATCATTTGTACACGATATCAGTTAACTGATTGTGTTAGAACGAAGGCTATGGCTTGAATAATAAGTGTCCAACTTCCATGGCACTAGTTTATCTTTATCAAATTGTTATTTAGTTGGTTTTTATTCTTTTAGGCTTTATCAGGATTATATATTTTTGTTTCTATCCTGAGTTTTGGTTTTAGATAGGGAGTAGAGATGATAATGGGTAAAGATAAATTTTTGTTCGTCTTAAATCTGATCCGATTTTATATTTATAATAACTAAATTTAATTTGAAAAATTTTTTTTATTTTTTATATCAAATCGGATCTGATCTGATAAATTTTTTATATTTAACTTAACATTGTATAAAATCATATTCGATTTGATTTGAAATTAATAAAATATTATTTTAAAATATAAATATAAAATTAAATAAATAATTATAAAATAATTTATATATATCAATCGAACAAATTTACTTAAAACTATTTTTTTTTATTATATGATCCAACTCAATTTAAAAGCTAATTTAAAAAAAAATAAATCAATCTTATGGGTCAGGTCGAAGCCGTTAGACACGGGTTAAGCTGTCATTTTTAGTAGGAAGTGAAGTCAATAAGTACATATATTTGAAATCGAATTGTAATAAAGTCCCGAACTTTTCCCTTAGAAAACTCTTACACTTTCTCCCATCTGTTGCATATCAAACTATCATTTCTTCAAGCCGCATGTTTTAGTAATCAATTTCTAATTCTTTTCTAAATAACAATAACAACAATAAACTAGGCTTTATTTTCTATAACTCTCGGATTAATTATATGAAATACTAAAAAAAAAATTATATTAAATCATAATTTTAAAATTTTTTATGTCGCTCATTTTTATAAAAAATAATATTTTTATTAATTTTTTTAACTCTCATATTATTTTTTATTACTTGTATTTATATCTTTCATGATTTATTTTTAGAAGCTTTGGTCTTTCAAAAATTTAAAAGCACATTTCTCCTAATTGGTATACAGATAAATCTATATTTTACATGTTCAAATCAACTCGAATGACTTTCTCTTATATTTTTTTCAATTTAAACTATTTTTAATTTTTCTAAAATCTTTTAATTTATGATTTTGTCTCTTCTACCTTTAATTTACTCATATTCATTTAAGCATCCTTATTTCAATTAAGCTTATTTTCTTCTCATGTTATCTCTGATTCTTTTCTACCCATTGATCAATCATATTCTTGTGGCTAGTCAATTGGCTCTTTACAAGAGAAGTACTCGATAGGCTCTTTTGAATTGCTTAGTCAAACAGCTCCAATCCAAGCTCTATCTCTTTTGTTGCTTGGTCCATTCGTTGATTACTACCTCACTGGCAAATTACTGGCAAGTTACAAGCTCTCCTCAGCTGCATTTGTAAGTGATTCTTCTCTCTTCAAAGCAAGGCAGCCATTTTCACACATTTATATATACTTTATGGTACCAATACTTACGCGGAAAATACTGATGTGGCGATGAATTGGGTGATTGGGAAAAATGTGCAGTTTTTCATACTACTCTCGTGTTCCTTAGCAGTATTCTGCAATATAAGCCAGTATCTGTGCATCGGACGATTCTCAGCGACTTCTTTCCAGGTTCTAGGCCACATGAAAACCGTTTGTGTTTTGATATTGGGATGGCTACTCTTTGATTCAGAGCTGACACTGAAAAATATACTTGGGATGGCCCTTGCTGTCCTTGGCATGGTAATCTACAGTTGGGCAGTTGAGGCTGACAAGCAATCTGATTCCAAGGCTATACCAAACCTGGAAGATGCTTCAGAAGAAGATGTTGAACTATTGAAGCAGCAAATGGACGGGTCTTCTTCACTCAAGGATGTTGAGCTTGGTAAATCTCAAGCATAGATTTGTGCTTTTTTTTGCTAAAAATATTTATTTGTTCAATGTTCTAAGCGGTGGGCAGCGGCTGTACAAAATGTTAAATTTATTGTTTTATTAAAATTGTTTTTCCATACATTCTCGATTTTTTTATTGTAGTAAATTCATTTCAGTATAAGATATTTTCTAATGAAAAATACTTATTGCCTCTAACAATTTTTTCTCACAATTTATTTCATATTAGTGGGATGATAAATTTTAATTAATTCATTTAATCTAATGAAAAACTCACCTATAATTTATCCACTAATTATGCACTGTGTCAAATAATATAAATAATTGTGATGAAAAGTTATGAGACTAAGTAAAATAATTACTAGTTTACTGTACAATTTAAGGTTTAAAACCAAGTATAAATTATTTCCCAATAGTAATAATTGATACATGTACTCTTTTCATATTTTTATAAAATGATTGTGGATAAAATAAAAAAAAAATCATAAATCTTGTAAGATGGTGTTAAGAGTATGTAATTTATGTATTTATATTATATCTATTTTGTATCAAATATATATAAATCATAAAATTATTATATTATAAGTAATGTTAATATATAAAATATAAAATATATATTTTAATTTTTATCAAAATTTAAAAACACACCATTTTTTTTTATTGTTTTCCATGTCTTAGGTATAAAATATAAGGTGAAAAGTTAGAAGAATAACATAAACTAGAGAATACGATTACTAGTTAGTTGTTATGTGTAAAATATATAGATAGTCTTTTAATTTTATGAGTCTTTTTAAGATAATCAATTAAGTATTAATTTTTTTAATTTAATTATTTAAGTTTGAATAAATGTTTTTTTTGTCACTCAACCTTTAATGATTAATGGTGTGTTGATGTCGCACTGCTACGTTAGTTTTCAGATGTTACGTGAAATTATTGACATGATATTATAAATTTTAAAAAAAATAAATCAATTTTGATTACTTAACTTTTTAAAATTTTTTATTTTGGTCACTCAATTTTGAAAATTTACAATTAAATCACTAACAAATAATTCCTCAACTTTTATAAAAAAATAAAAATATGTATTGATATTTTTATTTCATTGAATTAAATTATAAAATTTTATTTATTGTAATTATATGATTTAATTTTAAAAAATGGATGAATATTATCCAATACAAAAATTACTAAAATAAATACAAAAATTACTAAAATATCATTACTTCAAATCTTTATGATTCAGTCCATTTGAATAAATTCAAATAAATATTTCATATTTGATAATGTCAAGATTCTAATTATAATAAAAGTTCCTAAATTTAATTTCATGCAATAAAATATTAAAAGAAATATAGATAACATAAATTTATTGTAATTAAAACCTTAACATTAGAAAATATGAAATTTAATAATATTTTGGTCTTCATTGTCAATGACTCATTGTCACTATAAATTTATAATGAGTTGGTCATCAATATTTATGAAATTTAATATAATAAATTATTTTATTATCAATTGAAATATATTAGGATAACACTAAAATAAAGGCATTGAATTTTATAAAAAAATAAAAATAAACATTCAATATTTTTATTGAATGAAATTAAATTATGAACTTTATTTTATTATAATTATACCATTTAAATTTAAAAAATAGAAGAATATTATTCAGTTATCAAATTGACTAGAATATTATTGTTTCAAATATTTGCCATTTAGTTAATCCAAATAAATTTAAGTAACTATTTTAAATTTTTATAATTTGGTCACCATTGTTCATGAAATTCTTAAATATTTAGATATCACCCTCAACATAACTTTATAACGATCTAATCATCAATGGTTTGTAAAATTTATTCTAATAAATTATTTTTAATTTATTTTGTTATCTATGCTTCTTTTAATTACGTGAAATTAAAACTAAATCTTAATATTATGAAATATGAAATACTTAGTTAATTTATTTGGATGAGTGGGATGATAAAAATGTAAAATAACATTATTTTAGTAAAATTTTCAAATATATAATATTCTTTTATTTTTCAAATTTAAAATGGTATAATTACAATAAAATAAAATTTTAGTTTAATTTTATGCAATAAAAATATCAAGTACTTATTTTTGTTTTTTTATAAAATTTGAAGACTTATTTATTAGTGATTAAATTATAAATTCTTAAAGTTGAATGACTCCAATAAAAACTTTTAAAAAGTTAAATGATTAAAATTTATTTATCTTTTAAGTTTTATAATGTTACGTTAGTAATGAGGCTTGTTAGATGATATGACAGTATTATGTGTCACTTAACAATTGATGTAAAAATATCATGTCAATACGTTATTAATTATTAATGGTTGAATGATAAAAAAATATTTATTTAAATTTAAGTGATTAAATTTAAAAAATTAATATTTAAATAATCATATAAAAAAATTCTTAAAATTAAGTGATCATTTTTTAATAAAAAAATATTAAAGTGCTAAACTATTTTTGTCATTCAAAATAGTTTATTTATCATCATGTTGCGAATTTGGATGAGGAAAGAACATGGATTGCGCGCTTCACTTGCCCACGTCACCTCACCTTTATCCTCTCCTCTCCCACCACTCTACAAAAGCCCGCCCTTTCCTTTCAAAAACAACCCATCTTCCCCTTTTCCATCACAGTTCCCAGTCAAAATCAACGATCTAGATTCATCCCCGCTCCTCCTGTTGCCGTACCAGAATCCGCAGACACGTAAAGCCTTGTTGATGCTGCTCCCCAGGATAATTTTGACAGTTCAAGGGTGATCATATCGGTGCGCTTGGTCGGCATCTTTACTCGAATTGGCGTTGTTTTATTCAACAACGGTGTCCATGGGATTCGCGACTTTTTTTGGGACGAGATTCCCTGTCGAGGTGCTTCCTGGTTACGAAAGGAGCCTCTGGACTCCGTTTGGATCGAAACAGTTATCGCAGACAATGCTTCAGATTCCCAGCTTTTAGTTTTATCGCCCAATTTTCTCTTTACTCATTAAATGTCATTTTGAAGGGGTAAATTAATCATTTTATGGATTGGTCAAACACCTGAGACACATCAAATCAATCAGGTGCTACGCAAAAGAACCAAATTTCCAAACAAAGAAAAACACATGTCCTCCGTCGGCCCAGACAATAATGAATCACTTTGTGATGATTGAATATGGTACCTCTTGATGCATAAGTCATGACGTCAATCATACATAAATTGGCCTAGTCCAACCCTTTTCCCCTCGGCTCTCACGATTGCTCACTTTACTGATTTAAGGTTAGGTCAACAAGATGCAAATTTCAAAGCTCTTGCTCAAAGTTAAATTGGGTACCATTGAGCACACTTCAAGTTGATATAAAATATAAAAAAATGATATTACACTCGACAATTTAATATTTAGATTGCTCAACGAGGGAAAAAATTTTTAAGTTCAAAAGATAAAATTGTATTTTTTCTCCTTAGATGACAAACAAAATTATTTATAATTTTTAATATGATCTAACATATCAGATCAATCTAACATTTATATTATCACGTCAGTTTGATTAATTCATTATCTTGTTCAAAAAACTTTTCTTTTTATATTAACTTATCACTCTTTAAGTGAATGATTGATTTTTAGATTAACTTAATCTGATAAATCATCCTAATTATAGGGTTGATTGTGGGTAGTCTAAATTATCCCAAACCCTCTCACCCTTAATTATAAGTAGCATTATCCAGGTAATATATAAATATATTACACTCTTATACTCTCTACTTCTTCATTTTTATTTCATTTTTCAATTAATCTTTAACTTGAACGTCAAAACGTAAATATTGAGAAAATTTTTTATCTTTATCTTTAATCATTTTTTTTCTCTCTCTTATATTTTCATGGTTTTACCCATCAATTCAGAGTTCTGACACCAATTATTTATAAACTGATGTTTATGGGTTGTGGCTAACTCATTGATTATCAAACTGGGTTTTTCTGATGAATTACTTTTGTTGGGTTCCTTTGAATTATTCTCTGTTTGCTAGGTTTCACCTTGATTGTTCATCCCAATTGTTCCCTTTTCAATAAATTGCAGTTACTATTTATATAGTAATCAAATGCCAAAATTTTTAGGCCTCGAATTAATGAAAAAATATTCAGGAAATCAAATTTATAAGCATATTCAATTTAGATTTCTTTTGTATTTTCTTGCACCCCAAGTCTTTCCAATTTCTTGCCTATTCTTGATTCTTAAGTTTGCAATCTTCCCAAAATTTTTTCAATTTGATTTCTTTCATTATTTTTTATTTTTACTTTTTTTTACTCTTGACTTTCTAAGAATATAAGATATAAAAATAAAAGATAAAAGAAGTAAAATGAAATAAAAGAAATAAATAAAATAAATAAATAAATAAACATTATAGGGCCTTTCTTTGGGCTTAAATCTCAAGATGAAATTGAAGCCCACTGATTTTTAAAGTTGGCAAATGAGTTGGTTTGAATGGGTTCGGATTGAATTGTTTTCGGATTTGAATTTTTTGGGTTAGGATTCATTTCGAGTTCGGATAGTTTCGGATATAAATTTTTTTGAATTTGATTATTTTTGAATTTGGATTTTTTCATATTCGGATAATTTTAGATTTAAATAATTTCAAATTCGAATTATATTATATACATTCTATTTTAGATTTGGTTCGATTCAAGTTGGGTAGCCTTATTGTTTAGACGAATTCAAAAAAAAAAATTCTAAATTTTATAAGTTATAAACTTATTTTTGTAATTTCGAATTAAGGATTAATTTTATTTTTATTTAATTAAATAAAAATATTACAAAAGTGTTAATGTTAAAATTTTAAAAATAACATATTTACATAAATATATATTATATATTAATTTTATCTTTAAATATTATTCATTATTTTTTAGTTCATCATACAAATTCAAATAAAAGCTAAAAAAATTAAATTTCCCATAGTTGAATAATAGATATTATTAAAAAGAATAAGATAAATTACATAAAATTACCTTACGGTTAGAGGTGAATTTAAAGTGGTCTATAAGGTTTAAAAAGTGATACTTAACTATCTTATGATTTGTTTTAATTTTTTACCCAAAAGTGTTATTTTTTTCTTTGTTTTTATTTTTTCCTTTTTCTTTATTATCAATTCATTCCCTCTCTAAAATTAAACAAATTCTC